TTACTCATTCCCATGTCTCATTTCTACCCTTCTGAGCCTTTCTCAAGTCAAAATTCCTTTGTATGAAAGGAGTGGCAGTCTGATCTCCTGCCTGGCAGTTTCTGCATAGTTCCAGCACAAATGTCATGCAGCAAGGCCGGTGGGTAGAAATCAGTGCAACCTTCCCAAGTAACCAGTGACAGCAATGATCTTTTAGCTGTCCATAAGGGGAGGATTCTTTCCACTGGTCGCCAGTAATGGGGCATTCTTCCCACCAGACCCCATTCTCCTAACTGACCCCCCCCCACCACTGGACATTAAACCCACTGCCCATCAATGTAAGAAACCACTATATTGGCCTTCATTGTAAAGGTACCTTTTCCCACCGAGCAGCAACGTAAGAGGGTACGTTTCCACTGAGCAGCACTGAAAGAGGGTACGTTTCCACTGAGCAGCACTGTAAGAGGGTACGTTTCCACTGAGCAGCACTGTAAGAGGGTACGTTTCCACTGAGCAGCACTGTAAGAGGGTACGTTTCCACTGAGCAGCACTGTAAGAGGGTACGTTTCCACTGAGCAGCAATGTAAGAGGGTACGTTTCCACTGAGCAGCACTGTAAGAGGGTACGTTTCCACTGAGCAGCACTGTAAGAGGGTACGTTTCCACTGAGCAGCACTGTAAGAGGGTACGTTTCCACTGAGCAGCACTGCAAGAGGGTACGTTTCCACTGAGCAGCACTGCAAGAGGGTACGTTTCCACTGAGCAGCACTGCAAGAGGGTACGTTTCCACTGAGCAGCACTGCAAGAGGGTACGTTTCCACTGAGCAGCACTGCAAGAGGGTACGTTTCCACTGAGCAGCACTGCAAGAGGGTACGTTTCCACTGAGCTGCAATGTAAGAGGGTACGTTTCCAATGAGCTGCAATGTAAGGGGGCACTAGCATGTTTATCGTCTGCATTTGTGTTTTTAGCCATTATTATTATTATTATTATATGGGTTATTTATTGATTATGACTAAAAACATTTTGTATTATAAAAGCACAGAGTGTTAAAAATGATCACTTGCGGTTGTCAAATATGCTAGGAGTGCCACATTCCTTATGTGTTACTATACTACTGTATCTGTTTATACTATGTGTACAGCATACCTGTATGTCCCTTACTTTGCACAGTGCCAAAAGGAGATAACAGTATAAGGACTCCTGCACTCTGAACATTTCGCCCTGGGGCAGGCGTCTTCAAGGTTTAGGTGTGCGTGGAAGGCACAGGTGTGTGCCAGGCATTTGTCCTTGGGCATATACAAAACCAGATCCCCTTGAGCGTTCTCACTTTACAAATCCGCCTTCCTCACCTACACCTCCTCCCTCCATGCCGCCAAACAAGCCTACTTCGTAACCCTCATCAACACCCTCTCCTCCAGTCCTCGCCGGCTCTTCTCCACTTTCAACTCCCTCCCCCCCCCCCCCCCCCCCCCCACCCCCAGTGCCTCCCACGAGATTGCCAATCACTTCCAAAATAAGATCGACGCAATCCGTAAGGACATCAACAATGCTCAACCTACCTCCCCACCTAGCCTCCCTCCCACTATAACCCCACCAACTCTCCCCTCCTCTGACCTCGCAACTGCCCTGCCCCCCACCACATCTAACATCCCGCACACTATTACCTCCCCAACACTCCGCTCCTTCAGCCTTGCCACCACTGAGGAGGTCACCAAGGTCTTCTCAGAAGCCCGCCTCACCACTTGCCCCCTTGACCCTGTCCCCACACAACTCCTCCGGGCACCCTCCCTCCTCCATCCTACGCTCCCTCACCCACATCTTCAATCTCTCCCTCTCTACTGGTGCATTCCCCTCCCCCCTAAAGCACGCGCACATCACCCCCATACTCAAAAAACCCTCTCTGGACCCCACCGACCTGAACAACCTTAGACCCATCTCCTTGCTGTCATTCACTTCCAAGCTCCATCCCCTACACTCCACCGAAACCACTCCACTACTCAGTCCTTTTACTCCTTGACCTCTCCGCAGCCTTCGACACAGTTGACTACCCCCTCCTCCTTAATAAACTACACTCCCTCCCTCTGCATCAGAGACTCCTGGCTCTCCTACCTATCCCAACGCTCCTTCGGTGTTACCTAGAATGCTACCACCTCCCCCTCTCTGTTGGGGTCCCCCAAGGCTCTGTCCTCCGGCCCCTTCTCTTCTCCATCTACACCTCCTCCCTCGGCAAACTGATACACTCCCACGGCTTCAACTATCACCTCTACGCCGATGACACGCAAATGTACCTCTCCACCCCTCTCCCCTTCAGTCTCCGCCCGTATCACCCACCTGCTGAACGACATATTAGACTGGATGTCGCTCCATTTCCTCAAACTGAACCTTTCCAAAACTGAGCTCCTAATCTTCCACCCAGTCCGCGCCCCCCCCCCCCCCCCACCCTCTCCATCATGACCAACATCGCCACCATCAGTCCCACCCCGCAAGCCAAAGTCCTAGGTGTCACTCTAGACTCAAACCTGTCCTTCCAACCCCATGTCCAATAGTTGGCAAACTCATGCAGACTGACTCCACCTCCGCAACATCTCCAAAATACGTACGTTCCTAACCCCAGACACTACTAAACAACTCGTTCACTCCCTCATTATTTCACGTTTGGACTACTGCAACTCCCTTCTCACCGGCCTACCTCATCACAGACTATCCTTGCTTCAGTCTATCCTGAACTCAGCAGCCAGACTCATCCACCTTACCAACCGCTCCTGTTCTGCCACCCCCCTCTGTCATTCCCTCCACTGGCTCCCGTTTGCCCAATGCATTAAATTCAAAATACTGACACTGACATACAAAGCCATTCATAACGCTGCCCCAAACTACCTCACTGACCTGATACCCAAATACCACCCAACCCGTAATCTTCGCTCCTCACAAGACCTCCTACTTTCTAGCTCCCTGGTCTCCACCTCCCACGCCCGACTGCAGGACTTCCCCCATCCTCTGGAACTCCTACCCCAATCCATCAGACTGTCACCTACCCTCCTCACCTTTAGGCGCACCCTGAAAACCCATCTCTTCAGGGAAGCCTACCCCACCCTTACCCAACAGCCGATCTCCTCCACTCCATCCCCCACAGCCACTTCCTCCTGTACCACTTTCCCCTCCCTCCTAGATTGTAAGCTCGAAAGAGCAGGGCCCTCGAACCCCTCGTGTATTGTTTTGTTACTGTATTGTCTCATGTACTGTCCCCCACTATAATGTACAGCGCTGAGCAAACATTTCTGGCGCTATATAAACACTGTATAATAATAATAATAATATACTGCCCTAAATGTTAGGGCACCCACAGCAACATTCAGCCTCTCATAGAGCTTTTACAGGCTGCCAGCAACAGTGCTAGACACTGTACCTGTTCCCTCTGCTGCCTGCAACTAAAAACCAGAGTCTCATGAACCAGGGCCAAAACGCATGAGGCCTAAAAATCAAGTAAAAGAAAAAAAAAAAGATAACATTGAGAGAGGAAGCTTCTATTCTATAGTCAAATGTTGAACAGAGCACAGTAACTTCTTAAAGTTAGTGCCCCCTAATGGTTAAAAGGTATAATGTCACAGAGAACAATGGCCTTTTACCAAGTTTCATCTAACATAGGCTTGAGCACAGCACCAACAATATTTGAAATATCAGTTCTGGGTTGAATTGTCCTTTACAAAAAGCTCCTGTATATTTTTTGTAGTCTTATTACTAGTTCCATTTTTAGGCCTAAATCCTCCAATAAAGAATTTTTTGGTCACAGCATAGCTGAAATATCTGATATCCAGCAGTTATGCAGTGAAAGTTTATTTTGTAAGTTATACTAGAAAAAAGATGCAGTGGTCATGGTTCTTGTAAGTTGTGTGTGCAGTTAACCATGGGTTATGGTTCGTGTGCTGTTTATTGTATTACCTCTCAAGTTTGAGGTTGACAAGCTTTTTTCACAGTTGGCATACAAGGTCGGTTGAAGGTGCTTCTCAAGATAAAAAAAAGAAAAAAAAAAAAAAAAAACAAACACACCCAAAAGCATCCATTACCTTTTGAGTCCATTTTTATGTTTCTTTGTATCTAATGGCAAAGCACTTTTGCTCTCATTTATTTAAACTGATGTGCTGTTTAGAGCAGCAAAACAAATGTTTGTCATATTTAATTTTTTGTTTTCTTAAACACCCAATAAAAATGCAATCAGGAATATCTTAAAATTAACATTTAATCACAGTAAAGATTTAAAATCTCATAAAATTGAGGAATCAACACCTTCCCATTCCACCCAAAGTCCAAAGCACAGAGAGAATATATACATATAGTCAAGATAGCATGGCAATTTCAGTCCTCTGTGTACATTCTCAAAAAATAATTAATTTTCTCTGTACCCCAAGTTCCTGGCCCTTTCTATCTTTACACATTTCTTCAGTGCTTTGGTGCGCCCCGAAATCTTAGGCATTTGTGTTTTCTTCTCTCTAGCATCTTAAATCATACAGTATAATTTTTTGCACTCTTTTGTGCCTAGTGTCATTTCAGCAGTGTTTTATACACAGCTGCGGCACCGCTTTCAGCTCCCAGACCTCTTCTGTTGTGTCAATTGTTGGTGATTATCTGCAGGGCATTCTGCTCCTACAGTCTTTCCTTTGCATTCCCTACACCTCATGTGCTTTTGATTCTTATTCTTCTGACCACATTGCTTGTGTATCCAGTAAGTTCACACAGCTCCCATTTAATCGTGCTATAATCACATTTCTCAGGGCCAAATAAATGAATGCTTGCAACCATATCTTGCTCTGGAACTGCTCCTCCATAGCCAATAATACTATTGTGCTTCTTTATTCTCAGTTTTCAAACAGCCAACAGCTAAAGGACTATGACTGTAGAGTAGCACATCAGAGGCCAGAGGAGAATAGAGGGTAAAGTCCAGGATAAGATATGTCAGGGATTGGGGTATATGTCATGAAGGGCACCCAGTCCTTAGTGCCACCCACTGGATGCCAATAGACTTTCAAGCGATCAGAAGCCAAAACATTATGACCAAGGCAACAAAAAGGAAAAGCCGTGACAGGAATTGCTCATCAACGTACTGCGGTGTTCCAGGGACTGCTGTAAAACACAAAGAAAGTTACACTTGTAAGACTAGTAAAGACTAGTAAGATTATTAAATGCAGGTTACAGCATCAACTGGACTTGCCAGTTTGTAGCAAACAAAACCCTTTTCATTCAAAATTCAATGTAACCAAACACTGTTTAGTAAACAAATACATTTGTTTGCCCCTCCCCACTACAGACTGCTGAATTCAGAAGGTATCTGGTAAACTACAAAATCATAGTTACTAAAATTATTAAAGTAATAATTAAAATCAGATCTAAAAGTCAAAAATATCATAGTTACTAAGATAATATACAGATTTCAAGGGCCTCCTGAGACAGTGTATAAGATACTACTTTGAAAAACCATGTATCACAGTTTAGTGGAAAAGCAGTACCAGAGGTAAAGCAAAAAGCACAAAAAGGGGAAGAGACCTGTTTGGCAAATCCCCCCAGACGACGTGCGCACGAAACGCGTCGGAGGAGGAGCCATCAACGCCGTGACGTCACGCCGCCGGAGCATCGTGGAGCTCCGGCAGCCATCTTTAACACTGGACGGTTAGTCCATTCTATCGCTTGTTCGTTTATTGATTTTTATTCTGAAGAATCCTCGTTTTGCACTAATAAAGTACATACTTACTACACTATGGAGATGTCTCTGCTTTGACTCCCTTGGGGAGTATTAATCCACAGCCATCCACCTGATTACTGGAGAAGGAGCCTTCACAACCACTACAGAGCAGTCCATAGGCTACTACCTGAGGGGTATTCTGGACCACCCTGATGCCCTATTAATAACATCCAGGACCACTGAAGGGAGGATACTGAACTCCAGACATCACCCTAACCGGCAGATGACTTCAGGAGAAACATATATTTACAAACGCTCATTAAATTGTGCGTTCTGGTGAGTGTGCATTCTTTCTGCACTTTATCTCACAGCACCTTACCACCAGGAGGATACGGTTATATGAAAGCACCTGAAGTCACTTCAAATCACTATATGAACTGTTCATTTAATGATTTATATTTATAGTGTGTCTTTTCCTAGCGCTGCACTTTTGATTTATAAACAAATACATTTGTTTGCCCCTCCCCACTACAGACTGCTGAATTCAGAAGGTATCTGGTAAACTACAAAATCATAGTTACTAAAATTATTAAAGTAATAATTAAAATCAGATCTAAAAGTCAAAAATATCATAGTTACTAAGATAATATACGGATTTCAAGGGCCTCATGAGACAGTGTATAAGATACTACTTTGAAAAACCATGTATCACAGTTTAGTGGAAAAGCAGTACCAGAGGCAAAGCAAAAAGCACAAAAAGGGGAAGAGACCTGTTTCCTTCAATGGACTCCATGAAATAGATTTTACAATAAGTAAAAAAATCTTATTTTCTTTCTCGTCCTTTGAGGGACACAGGATGTTAGATACAGTCTGGATGGGAAACTAATGCATAGGCCCATAAGAAGAGGTTAGGAACTCTCTCAGGACTATCTAAAGGATAAAAGCCCTAATCTGATCAAGATGACGTAAAACTCCCTACAAGACAAGGAATACTTGTCAATGACCACGGAAAAGCCACAAAGGATTGACCTGATGCTCAAAGACCAGGACAGAAGAAATCACCATGTTGAACAACTCTCCCTGAAGGAACATTCAGCCTGAACCAGCAAGTTGCTGTGAAACCAAAAACCCACCAAAACAGGTGGTCATCAGGAAAAAAACAGTGGGACAATTCCCCAGCAGAACAAGTCCTCAGAGGCCACCTTAAATAGGTTTGAAACAACCCTCTGTAAATATGAGTTAAACGACAGGAGATAGGCTGAGTCAGAGATAGTGACCAGGGCGACAGACCTGGCTTGGTTTAGGGTTTCAGGGGGTCAGAGAACATCTCTGCGGTGTATGACACCAGAACACACTTAGAGCCTCTTCAAGCAGAGTGTGCTAGTAGCTGAAAGCAAACAGCTTAAGGCCTAGTTCACACTGGCATTGAAAGAAGGCATTTGGGGGCGTTTTTAATGCTCCTCAAATGCCTATGCAAATGATACTATGGACAGCAGACAGTGCTGTTCACATTATCAAGACAAGCGTTAGTGTCGCTTCAAAATTGAAGCCTCATGTTAAGTCTGGAAGAGTTTGAAGTCTTTCAAAGCCGCCTATTCAAGTCTATGGTGATGCTCCACAAGTGTGCTGGCAGGCATTTGTTGGACATTTGCAGCGGTTGTGGCGCATGAATAACAGTACAGTTTATTATAGGTGTTTGTGGTGTGGATTTAATACTTGTAAAACTGTGCATAGGGCATTTGGGGAGAGTTTTTAACGCTTGTAAAATGCCAGTCTAACTTCCATACTAAAGCTCATTAACACCTGTCTAATGCCCATACTAACACTATAGGATCGTTTTTAAGAGTTAGAAATTTTGTGTGAACAAGCCCAGAGTCTTAAATGGATACTGAGGTCTCTGTGGACACGGGGAGAACACACTCAGATGATGACAACCCTATAACAATAGGGGCCTCAGGTTTCATTTTACAGTTTCCTCTGGGGATACCCAGTAATTACCCCCACAGTGCACTAGGGGAGTATGGGCTGAGGCCACACATGGCAGCAGAACTGTCCTCTCTCTGTCTTAGCACTGACATATTGGGGTTTATTTACTAAAGCTGGAAAGTGAAAAATCAGGCTCACTTCTGCATAAAAACCAATCAGCTTCTAACCTCAGTCTGTTCAATTAAAGTGTTACTAAACCCACAACAGTAAAATCAGTCTGTATATGCAGTAAAGAATGGTTGTTATACTCACTGTGGAAGCTAAGGAGTTAATCCCTTAAAAAAGGCCATTTGATCCTGTCTTCTCTGATCTTCCTCCTCTTCTACTATCTCCAATCCATCTGCTGATAGTAGAGAGCTCTAGGAGTCACTCTGCACATGCTCAGTTTAGTGTGTATAAAGAGGATTTTTTTTTTGGGAGGGTGCATGTGATCAGCACAGGGCCAATCAGCACTGTTCAGTAAGAAGATCAGGGGTCATGCAGCCAGCCTCAGGACAGTCAGAGAGGAATGAAAACTCCTACAAGCTTTAACCAGTGCTCGGCCAGGCACGGACTGAAGTCACAAGACTGCTATATACTGCTGATGAGAAAAGGTATTTAACAATTTATGTTTACTAAAATAATTGCATTTCCATTTACTGTGGAAAACTGGATATAATGAATGCAGGGTTTAGTAACACTTTAAGCTTTGGCAATAAAACCCTGAAGCCGATTGGTTTCTATGCAGAAGTGAGCCTGATTTTGCACTCTCCGGTCTTAGTAAATAAACCCTGTTGTGTCAGCGCAGTAGTAATGCAACTAGCTTCAATGTGAGGTAAGGCCTCATGTACTCACAAACTCAGACAAGCTGGTGTCTGGAGGTAACAAGGTAATTTTATGTGGGCAATGGAGAGAGATGGGAGATCCACTTGGTGTTTCACAAACAGCAACGGGATCGTGCTCACTCCAGGGTGTATGGTGAGAGAAAAAAAAAGAAAAGAAGAAGAGCGGCACACTTTGCTCCATCCAATGGATGATATCCGTGCTCAATCCTTCAGCCTTTACCCTTACTACCTTAAAATCAAAATTTGAAAGGTGTCCAGCGATGCAAAGAGTGAAGCAGCTCCCGTAGCTTTAGCCTGAACAGCCTTACTCACAAACTGAGTTTTCGGAGACAGAGTCACAGCTGGTGCTGTGCCACGGCTCTTGACCCAGAAAGTACTCTATGGCTAATAGAGTACACTCTGGTCAGGACAGTGCCACAATGCAGAGTTCAGTGCCCTATGGTCACATTCCAGGCTATACCTGCATTTCCAACCCAACAGGATCTGGGCACGGCCTCCAAAGCTGAGAATATGGCAATCCAGATAGCTGCTATATAGAGACCAGCTCAAGCAGCAGTATCAGCAAGAAATCTTGATTGAAGTCACAGGACAAAAATATTCCACAAAGCAAAAAGGCTAGCAAAAAAAAAAAGTTATTTTCTGCGGAGATGAAGTAAATCATCCAACCTCCCAGGACACTAATAAAAAAACGAAAGAATAATAAGTAGAGAAGAGGTTTTATGGGGACTGGCTTACAATTTTTCTGCTTGCCAGTGTCCCAACCTACTGTAGGAGTCAATATAACCCAACTGTTTCAGTGTTTCTGTGTCCCTCAAAGGAAAAGAAAAAAAGAGTGTGCTTAGCAAACTAGCCAATTAAAAAAACATTGCCCATTTAGGTTTGCTGTTCACAAGCAAAAAATACCTTCAGTCCTTCTTGCCACTCTGCACAGCTACAAGAAGCCAGTAAAAAGAAGCTCCCATGTGACAGCACTGGGCCAATCACCAAGCATCAGTGCTAACCCATGCCCAGAAGAATGTATGCAGTCCATCCCTAGCAGCTGTAGCAGGGGAACATAAGAAAGGTAAGGTGCTGCTGGGGAGAGGGAGCATTAAAGCAGACCTATCACTTTGCCTTAAATAAGCAAAGCACAAGATTACTTTTTCCTGCTTTTTGATGAGAAAAAAAAAAAATCAAAATAAAAACGGAATTCAGTTTCTGGTAAAAGTTCTTATTTTCTGGACAAAACTGACAATTTTGGGCAGTCAAAGATAAATGCCAACCAACTATATCTCACAAACAAAACAATCAACTTTTCTTTAAGCCAACCTGAATCTGATCATGTGCAGCTCCTAAAATGTGCTAACCGCAGAGTAAAAGGGGTGAGAAATATGGGATACCTGGTGGGGGGACGACCATCGTTGATGTTAAACGCTGTGGCAAACATTCCAAAGGGGAATGCTCCTATTCCAAATGACATCTGGAATCCACCATCTCCAAATCCAAAGCCTTGAAAACCCTGTAAACAGGCAAAATTAAATTAAATTAGCCTTCTAAACAGTCATCTTTAAAAACACATTTTTAAAAAACAGTTCTACAGACAGGGACATTAGCATTTTGAAACATAGTCAAACAAGCATTCAAAGGATCCACAGGGGGAGGGGGCACTATTTGTGGTGCTTGCTTAGTAAGCAGGTTTTCTACAAGGTTAAAATGTCTGCTAGGTTCACTTTATAGAAATGTATGTACTATGTAAAAGAGATGTATACCTTTACTTTTGTCCTCCTGTGACCCAGCTGATGGTGCAGAGCCATGGCAGGCTCGGGAAGGATCCCAACAATATTGTCAGGATCCACCCTGCTGCCTGATTGGCAGCTGGCTCAGCCTTTCAGCGTGCTGCTGAGACTCAAAATCAGCAGTGCATGACTCCTTGAGAAACAGTACTCTGGTTGCTTGCAGCCCATTTTCTTTAAAGTGGTTGTAAAGGCTAAATAACAATAAATATGTTTATGCTTACCTGCTCTGTGCAATGGTTTTGCACAAAGCAGCCCTGATCCTCCCGTTCCAGGTGTGCCACCATAGGAAGCCGTGTCCTATGATGGCAAAACTGTGGGCTCAATCCTGAGCTGCGCTGCTTGTGTCTACAGACTCCCGCTGCTGTCTCCAAGCCAGTAAGAGAGAGACAGCAGCTGTGCTGCTCTCAGGCACAGCTCTGGATCGAGATCAGGCTGGAGGGGGGGGGGGGGGGGGGGGGTTGCAGAGAAATGCATTAAAGGTTAAAAAAAAAAAAACTTTAGCCTTTACAACCACTTTAAAACTGAATTCTGGGGGGGAAAAAATTTGGAAAATTTGCTGTTTAAATATAAATTTACCGTATTTTTCGCTCCATAAGAAGCACTTTTTCCCCCCCAAAAAAGGGGGGAAAATGTCAGTGCGTCTTATGGAGTGAATGTAAAGCGGCCGGTCCGGTATTTCTGCCGCCACCGTGTCAGAATATCGGGCCGGCCGCTCAGCTCTTCTCTCATGCAGGGCCTTACCTGCTCCTCGCTCCAGCGCTGCAGTCTTCCGTGAGAGCCGGGTGCCCACTGCGCATGCGCGGGAAGCGCCGCGCTTTGTGAATGGTCCGGTGTCTTCTGGGACACATAACAGGTCCCAGAAGGCTCCGGGCCATTCACAAAGGGCAGCGCTTCTCGCGCATGCGCAGTGGGCACCCGGCTGTCACAGAAGCCGCCGCGGGAAGAAGAGGGAAGGACAAATCCGCGGAAGTGGGAGCGGGTACCAGTCAAATTCAGGTACCCGCTCCCCCCCCTCCCCAAAGGTCCGCAGTCTCTGGTCATCTCCTGTACTGTGTCCGCAGTCTCTGGTCATCTCCTGTACTGTGTCCGCAGTCTCTGGTCATCTCCTGTACTGTGTCCGCAGTCTCTGGTCATCTCCTGTACTGTGTCCGCAGTCTCTGGTCATCTCCTGTACTGTGTCCGCAGTCTCTGGTCCTCCTGTACTGTGTCCGCAGTCTCTGGTCATCCCTGTACTGTGTCCGCAGTCTCTGGTCATCCCCTGTACTGTGTCCGCAGTCTCTGGTCATCCCCTGTACTGTGTCCGCAGTCTCTGGTCATCCCCTGTACTGTGTCCGCAGTCTCTGGTCATCCCCTGTACTGTGTCCGCAGTCTCTGGTCATCCCTGTACTGTGTCCGCAGTCTCTGGTCATCTCCTGTACTGTGTCCGCAGTCTCTGGTCATCCCCTGTACTGTGTCCGCAGTCTCTGGTCATCTCCTGTACTGTGTCCGCAGTCTCTGGTCATCTCCTGTACTGTGTCCGCAGTCTCTGGTCATCCCCTGTACTGTGTCCGCATCTCTGGTCTGCAGTGTCCTGTACTCCTGTAGTCCTGCAGTCTCTGGTCATCTCCTGTAGTATGTCTGCAGTGTCTGATCATCTCCTGTAGTATGTCTGCAGTGTCTGATCATCTCCTGTAGTATGTATGCAGTGTCTGGTCACTTCCTGTACTATGTCTACAGTCCATTGGTTCAGAATATTTTTTTTCTTGTCTTTCTCCTCTAAAACCTAGGCGCGTCTTATGGTCAGGTGCGTCTTATGGAGCGAAAAATATGGTACTTTTATTGCCCCCATAGTACTGTAAGTGCTGAACATCTAGAGCTGAGAAGTTCTAGCAGTAGCACACTGGTCACAGTGGGTCGCTGTTTGTACGCTTTCTCATTTTCGATAAAGCCTTTGTTTTCAGTGAACTCAAGGCATTCTGTGGGTGAAGTAGAGGAGAGAGTGATGTCCATCCAAGACTTGAATGACAGTAAAAGTTCTACCACATAGAGCAACACCCAAATGTCAGACAGGCAGCATTGTCATTTATATTTACAATGCAAATGGCTCAAAACTTTATACTATAGGCTTTGAATAAACTGGGAAAGAGACAGAATCTCTATCAGGTTTTTACTGCAGCCTGTGATGCCATAATAGAAGTATATTCCCTCCGCTACCGAATTATGACTTAAAATGTTTAGGTAAAGGTTTAATGTAAAATTATAACAAAAATGATTGATTGTTTAAAATGTAATATGTAGCAACTAGAGGTCTGCATCTGCTGCATATGTTTTTCCTTTCTGCTTTTACTAAGCTTGAAACTTTTCCTAAAGAAACAAAAAGGTCTATATGATATTCTGCTTTAAAATGAAAAGATATCACAAATGAGTACAAATCAGATTTTTAGATCAAATCTATGCAAAGCAGAAAGTGACCAATCACAAATGTAAAAACATAAACCACATGCAAGGAAGTGCTGTGTGGCCTGTGTCAGCTTGTTATTGTTAATTAGTTTTTCTCGCGGGAAGCTTGTTATGTGATAACTAGGAACCCTCGAGAGACAGCAAAGAATTACAGATCAGAAGCAATTGTTTCATCATGTGACGCATGCTGTTCAGCCATTATACTCTCACTTTCAACTCACCCCTCTGTTCTCTGGCTCTGGTCTCTGCCCTTGAGGTCGTGGAGGCGTTTTCTCCCTATGGGGAAAAATTTATGACATCAGACTAGTGTAAGCTGAAATGCAACACAATTTTAAAGTGTTACTAAACCCACAACAGTAAAATCAGTCTGTATATGCAGTAAAGCATGCTTGTCATACTCACTGTGGAACCTAAGGGGTTAATCCTCTGCATTGTGTAAAAAGGCTGTTTGAGCCTGACTTCTATGATCCTCCCCTTCTGCCAGCGTCCCCCTCTTATCTCCTGATAAGACAAATTGTCACTCTGCACATGCTCAGTTTGGTGTGTATTGCTGGAGGTGTTTTTTTTCTTGGGAGAGTGCATGTGATCAGCACAGGGCCAATCAGCACTGTCCAGACAGAGGTCAGGGGTTCTGCATCCTCCTAGAGCAGAATGAAAACTCCTCCTACAAACTTTAACATGTGCTCTGCTGGACACTGGTAGAAGTCAAGTGTGCTCTAACTGCTGATGAGAAAAGGTATTTAGCAGTTTATATTTACTAAAATAATTGCATTTCTATGTTCTGTGTACTGTGGGAGACCACATATAGTGAATGCAGGGTCCTGGGTTTAGTTACACTTTAACTGTTTCAATACCGTGCAATTTTACACCTTCCTGCCCAGGCCATTTTTCAGGTTTCAGTGCTCTCACACTTTGAATGACAATTGCGCGGTCATACAACACTGTACCCAAACTAAAATTTTATCATTTTCTTCACACAACTAGAGCTTTCTTTTGGGGTATTTAATCACCGCTGGGGTTTTTATTTTTTGCTAAATTAACAAAAAAAGACCAAAAATTTTGAAAAAAAAAACACATGTTTCTTTGTTTCTGTTATAAAAGTTTACAAATAAATAATTGTTCTTCATAAATTTAGGCCGAGATGTATTCTGCTACATGTCTTTGGTGAAAATAACCCAAATTAGGATGTATTTTTTAGTTTGTAGGAAAGTTATAGAGTTCATAAACTATGGTATAGATCTGAATATTGATCAATCCTGAAGTACTGACAGCCAATCTAATTTCTTGAGGTCCAAGAATGTCAGAACAGTACAGATATCCCCAAATGACCCCTTTTTGCAGAGTAGACAGTCCGACGTACTTCATAAGAGGCATGGCGAGTTTTTTGAAGTTGTATTTTTTTGTCATAATTTTTCGGAAAATAAAAAAATTAAAAAAATTATTTTCACTATTTTTTTTTTTTTTTACATACTGTCACCAGTGCAGTACAGTGTCATCATATAACTGGCATGGCGGTGATCAGGGACACTGACTGGTGACAGTATGAAAAAAAAAAAAAAAAAAAAAAAAAATATTTTATATATATATATATATATATATATATATATATATATATATATATATATATATATATATATATATATATATATATATATATATATATACATATATATATACATACATATATATATTTTTTTATATTTAATTTTTACATTTTTTTTTAAAGATTTTTTTTTTTATATTTTACTATGACCAAAGTAGTACAATGTTACCATAGTAACATTGTACTACTTTGGGGAGGTGATCAGTAATTTTTTTTTTTTACACAATTTGCTTATAGCAAAGAATTACTTTGCTATAAGCAAGCATTTACCTGAATGAAATCGATTCATTCAGCTTTTTTTTTTTTTTTTTTTGTTGCTTAGCTGTGATTTGGTCACAGCTAATCACATGACATGTGCATGTGATTAGCTGTGACCATTCACAGCTAGGCACTAGTATACAATGGATGGCATCATGAATGAAGCCATCCATTGTATACAACTGTCATGTGACCTGCTGTGATTGGTCACAGCAGGTCACATGGTACCAGCAACGGGAGCCGGTACTCGGATCTGTCATCGGCCCTGTCCGAGGTGCACGGCCGGTGACAGATCGCACTGCTGCGCCGCTCTGCATTAGCGCAAACGGCGCATGTGCGGGAGCACGCCAAATGGCGTGCACCCGGAATGCAGGGACACATTTGAAGCCGCCAAACGGCCATTGGCCGGACAGCTAATGGTTAAATAGATGCATGCTGCCTCCATACAAATATAGACAGCAAACTCCAACTGTAAAGTCTCCTTACCGAGGGTCTTCTTGCCCCGTACTTCCTCGTCCATACAAAGGTATTACTTTATCACGGCTGATTCCAGCTTTACACACAGGACACACCTGACGATTAGGCCGAGTTTCTAACCACTATGGAGAAATGCACACGGTGAAGGTTATGACACCTAAAGCACAGTCTACACTAAAAAGCCACACAAATGCTCATGGCTTGGCTTATTTAAAAAAATTACAGAAAAAGTCAGTCTCTTGTGATTCTATGTGGTTACTGTATAAAAAAATGGATAAAAAAAAAATGGAACAAAGTTTGACTGACCAATTATTTTGAACTTTCTACGAGGTAAAATTGGCACGAATTCTAAACAACTCTGACATATCTACTAGCACAGTTAACAACTCAGTGGTATGTAAAAGACATGCACTTATCCATTTACAGATTAATCATGTATATAGCACTTACCTGATGTAAGCATGGCCAGCTAAAGACAGAAGAAAAAAGAAAATTACATATCAGAGTGCAAAATGTCACTTTATTTCTTTCAATTACATATTAGCAGAATCAAGTATCTAACACAGGGCTCAAGGCTCTTTTTAAAATGTTTGTAGATATATGTGAACTTCAAAACACTACGGTAACTACTTCCATTTTTATTTATTTGCACCAAGCAGAAAACATTTATTCTACTGGAATATAAACCTATACAGAAATAAAAAGCGAATTAGTTGTATAAACCCTAGGGATGGGATTGAAAGCAAAGCTCTGAAAACACAGTAGCTGCTTTTCGATCTTTTTTTACCTCTGTAATATGAAAAATCTAAAGGCTGCATTGCTGACTTCCTGTTAAAAATGCTAGTAGCCTGGTTGTCTCTGACTTCTATACTTTCTGAATAACTGACCAGGAATAAGCAAGCAGCTCACAGAAGCCACAATGAAGTCACAAGACTTTGATAAGAAGGCACATTGTGTGTCACTGACTCACAAGATGCCATTAGAGCATCCAGACAGCCAGGGAATTGTCAGCAACTGAAGTCTATGCCACTCATTTTTTGTTAACTGTAGCAGGAGCCAGAATTTTCTGACTTAGAATTTTCAGACTTTACTGGATGCATACTTATTCAGGGTCAGCAAAAGCATCTCCCATATTTCCCTTTAAAGGTTTGAGCAAAAGTTACAGAGAATAACATATGCATATAGTCAACTGCAAACTACAGACAGTAAAAATGAGCTTCTTGCATATTTCTATACTGACGTTTTATGATATGTGCTGCAAAGATTTGAAACTAGCCATACGCAGTTTGAATTTTTACAGAGTTCTACTGAATCAGACATAATTGGAGCTGTGAATGGCCCGGTTAACACCAAAGGACTGAATAAAATTAAATTTCAGAAATGAATGGCCCAGGTGAAAACTGGCTGCCAAACAATGGGGATGATTTACTAAAGGCAAATAGACTGTGCACTTTGCAAAGCGCAATTGTACTCGCAATTGACCTCATTAAGCCTTCGTTCACACTGATGCGGTGCGGAATTCGCAGCGTTTTCAGTGCGAATTCCGCACCGCATCACAGTCGCATCCCGTTTACACAGACCGATGCGGATGTGTATGTTAAGTTAACGACACCCCCACATCGGTCCGCAAAACGCGGTGCGATGTGCAGAATCGGAGCACATCCCAGAGCTGCTGCTCTCATCTTTAGTTTCAGGGTGAAGACAAAAAAATACCTTTCTCTCCTTGAACCTGGGTTCACACTGATGCGGTGTGGAATTTGCAGCGTTTTCTGTGCGAATTCTGCCTCACATCAGAATTGCACCCCGTTCATGCGAACCGCTGCAGGTGTGTATGTTAAGTTAACAACACCCTAAAATCGGCCTGCAAAACGGGGTGCTATGTGCAGAATCAGATCGCATAGGTGTGAATACCCATGCGATCCGATTCTAGTGCAGACCAAAAAAGGGTCCTGCACCTTTTTGATGCGGGTGCGGTGCGAATAGACCCATACAAAATGTAAGGCTCTAATCGCACTGCATACAAATCGCATGTGATTTGTACAGGAATGCGGTGCGGTTCCTGTGCGAATCACATGGTATTTCCACAACCGCTGAAGTGTAGGCTTGCTAAGCTCTGGAGCAACTGCAAAGTGCACTGTCAATTTGCCTTTAGTAAATCAACCTTAATGACTGCATTCTATCAGCATGGAAATCATTTGAGAAATCGACATATGTATGACTAGCCTTAGGTCAGGCAACAGTGAATGGCAAATGATATGTTATATAGTACACTATAGTATTAATCTGTTCTGTCCATTGCTTACCAGAAGAGATGGCCACACAAGCTTATCACTGCATCCTTGGCTGTATCTAGGCAGATGTTACATTCGAATGTGCTGTCCTGGCTGCTTCCCTCTCCATTACTGCTTCCACTGGCTCCTCCAGGGCTTGAATTCTCTGCAGAAGTAGAGGTAGCTGGACCTGCGCTCGCCATCTTACCCCAAATTCCAAATAAAGGTGATGTCTAATCCAAAACAACAAACCTACCAAAAGTGAAAGATATTGTTATTGCAACAGACCACATAAGCCCACTGAGCATATTAATACCATAATTCACGCAGACTCACCAATATCCAGTCTCTATTTGCTACTTTCAGGTAACTTGCTGCAAGGAGTCACAGACACTTAGTGTCAGAGGAAGAGCAGACTAAGCTATAAGTGTGCGTTGCTTTTTCACTCTGTTACATCATGTCCCCAAAGAATAAACTGACGACATGAAAAAAAGACACCGGCAATGACGCACACAGTGAGTAGAGCCCAAATGGCCCTATAGAAGTGGGAAGGAGCGAAGCAGACAATAATTAAACAAGAGAAACCTGAGAATACAGCAGACAGGCAATCCCTGTTGTCAGTATAATCCCTCTCACCTGTCTGGACTGCCCCTCTGTGTCTACAGGTTACCCAACTAATCCCCAATCCTCAGGGACCACCTATCCAGATGTCATGCGCTTTCTAGTTTAGAGGTAGCAGACCGGTGCATGACTTTGGCACAAAAAATAGAAATACCAGTTAAACAAGTAAACACACAACACCAACATCTCGCCTCTGATTCAGATCAGGCATAACTATTTACACCGTGTTGAACACTGCACACCTGGAAGCTAATGCTGGATTAAAATGTGCATGTGAAAGAGAAAGCAGGATATTTTTTCTGCAGGCAAATATATTACTGCGTCCCTGGAAACTACAATGACACACAAGCTCAGGCAACTTGTGGATGACCACCTATTGTGCTCAGTGTCCAGTTGTTCTGTATCATTAAAGTGACATTAAAGCTGCACAGTATTTTCTTTTTCTTTTTTAATAAAATAACAAACATTTCATACTTGCCTGCTCTGTGCAATGATTTTGAACATAGCAGTCCACGATCCTCTTCTCGGTTCCCCCTGATGGCACTCCTGGCTCCTCCCACCCACCGAGTGCCCCCCATAGGAAGTCACTTTCTATGGCGGTCATTCACAGGGGCTCACTCCTGATCTGAGCTGCTTTAATCTATTCAGACATGCAGTCTGGCTCAGCCCCCCAACCACTTTCTGCTAACTGGTTTTTGACTGACAATAGCAGCAGCCAATCACTCCCGCTGCTCTCAGCCAAGCCTGTGAGAGCTGGGAGAGGGGGGAGCTGCAGACAAGCACAGTACTGGACTGAGATCGGGCTCAGGTGAGTATTTAGGCAGGACTGTGGGGAGAGCTGCTTTTACAAGGTTTTTTTTTTTACCTTAATGAGAAAAATAGGGTTTTTCTTCCGTTAAAAAAAAAAATGGATGTTAATGGATACGGATATTAACGGAGGTAAAAAGATGTTCATCCGTGTACATCCGCATGTCCATGGCAATACATGGGGGTCCGTTTTTCATCCGTAAACAGATAGATGAAAAACGGACATATGGAACACCCGTGTGATAGGGGCCTTAATTTTGGCACAGACAGCGCCCATAGGATTCTGCATAGCAATGGTGACACCTAAGCGCAGGAAACCTAAGGCGCGGATCTGTGGTTTGGCTCATTTTAAAGAAGAAGCAGCAACTACTGCAAATTCTACTTTTGGGGTGTACTACCACTTTAAGACCGGGTTCACACCTACGCAGTTTGCTTTTGATCCATTTTTGCAATCCTTTTTTACGGTGCATTTTTCACACATTTGTTGATGCTTTTTTTGCCAATTTGTTGCTGGGCAGATTAAAAAAACCGCAAAATGCAACATGCTTTTCTGCAGTGTCTCCATTGAAGTCTACTAAACCAAAAATGCACTGTTTTGCATTTAAAAAAGTCCCTTACCCAAAAATGCAACTGAAAAAAAGCATAGATTTGAATGTGTGACATAGGAAACCATGTTAAATGGACTGGAGTGCATTTCTCCAAAATCAAAAAGCACCAAAAAAAACAGGCCTAAAGTGTAGCTATAGCCAACTTTTTTTGCTTTGGAATAGGGGTGGGAAAGGTTAAAACCCATCAGGTTTTTTTTTTCTGACCAGGGCTCCATTAGAGAGATTTCTTCTCACATCCTGCTCTGGGGGCAACCCCAGATAGTAAGTGAAGGTAGCTCTCTCCAACAGCAACACAGACGAAGGTAAAAATGCACTTTGTTAATGAAGTAATGGAATGTTGGGACCTTTGCCAGCTCTTTATTTCATGTCTAATTACCTGTTGCACTGTTCATTTTTTTTTTTTTTTTTTTATATATATATGTCAAAGATGACATTTCATTAAGTGCTATTGGCAGTGAATTGCCATGTATTGTACTGCACTGGAAAAAAGTATGACCTACCATGATTTTTTTCAGCACACACCACTGCAATGAGGTGCCGTGAACTGGCCACATATTAGACAAGCCATTTTGCATTGTCTTGCAGTCGGACTGTGATGGAATAACTGTCCAAGGCAGTCCCACTGTACCTAGTTTGAATGGGCCCTGAGAGTTTATTTAAACAAGCAGCGCTCAATGAAAATCAATCCATGGTGGTTGCGCAGTCTGCCAGGCAACCAGGAGGTGATATTGACACCCACTGAATGCCTTTTTTTTCTGCAACTGAATGGAGATTAGAATGGGAATACCGCACCACAAATGTGAGCCAAGGGTTTGGGTTTGTGGGACAGCCCCATTAACTCAAACTTGCTGTTGTAATACATTTTGCCGACCACGTCTGACAGTGCTCAAGCATCTGTTTTTTACTGCCCCACAAAGCCTAACAAAGTCCCAGGTAACAGCAAAATCTGACTGGTTCTAATTCTTCCCCACTCCATCCAAAAATAAAAACAAAAGGTTTGGCTAGAGATACACCTTCATCTAATTCCCATGTTACCTGGGCAGAATATGCATAAACTCTTTACAGGACCAGAAGGAGGTCAGTAGGAGTGCACGGCCAAAAGCCAGGGCTTGGTAACGGTTTTTCTCTGCCCGGCCTTCACCAATCACATTCATGATTCCAAAGCCACTCTGAATCTGATTGGTGGCAGTGACACACTTCTTAGTGTTAACATATTTGTTACTTATGAAAGGCAGAAAGGAGGGTGTTCTAGCATCACCAGCAGGTGCATTCCAGGATCACCAGACCATAGACCAGACTGGGAATTACTGGTGCGCTACACCAATATCTACAGTGCCTTGCATAAAGTATTCATACTAAGCATTCATATGAATACCTTTTGAAGGCACTGTACACCCCTGGTGCCGAATCTGCAGCCCGAGAGCCACATGTGACCCAATCAGTCAGCAGTGGAAACATTCATTTGTAAAGGCAACAATGGCAGTCTCATATAGCATGTCCCCAGTCTCTATCTCTTGCAGTGTCTTCAGTCTTCTGTTACATGTCAGCAGCCTCTCATCATCCCTTCTAGCAAGTCTGAAGTCTTTCACAGAATTTCATCATATAATCAATAATATGTACGGCCCTTTGGAACTGTCAGGAGCCACAATTGAGTCCCCTTCACATTGACTACCACAGATCTAGACAAAAAAAAAAAGTGAACTATGCAACACGTTGAGCTTTTTGTATGTACCCCATGTTTTTATTTCTGTCTTGGTGAATTGATGAATTTGGCTAATTCTCCAAGTTATAATCCAGCAGTGTAGTTGTCCTGGATTATGTTTGCCAGCTGAAATTAGATATAAAACACCACCAATGAAAGTTCTCATGTATTCATCAAGACAAAATAAATAAATGTATATACTGCTCAAAAAATTAAACGAATGCTTTGAAAACACATCAGATCTTAATGGGGAAAAATCTCATGCTGGATATCTATACTGATATGGACTGGGTAATGTGTTAGGAATGTAAGGATGCTCCATCGTTTGATGGAAATGAAAATTATCAACCTACAGAGGACTGAAGTCAAAGACACTCCGAAAATCAAAGTGAAAAAATGATGCAGCAGGCTAGTCCATTTTGCTGAAATGTCATTGCAGCAACTCAAAATGGTACTCAGTAGTTTGTATGGCCCACGTGCTTGTATGCATGCCTGACAACGATGGGCCATGCTCCTAATGATGATGACGGATGATGTCCTGGGGTATATCCTCCAAGATCTGGACCAGGGCATCACTGAGCGCCTGGACAGTCTGAGGTGCAACCTGACTGCATCAGATGGATGGAAACATGATATCCCAGAGGTGTTCTATTGGATTTAGGTCAGGCGAGTGTGGGGGCCATTCAAGGGTATCAATTCCTTCATCCACCAGGAATTGCCTGCATACTCTTGCCAAATGAGGCTGGGCATTGTCATGCACCAGGAGGAACCCAGGACCCACTGCACCAGTGTAGGGTCTGACAATGGGTCCAAGGATTTCATCCCAATACCTAATGGCAGTCAGGGTGCCATTGTCTAGCCTGTAGAGGTCTGTGTGTCTTTCCATTGATATGCCTCCCCAGACCATCACTGACTCACCACCAAAACGGTCATGCTGAACGATGTAACAGGCAGCATAACGTTCTCCATGGCTTCTCCAGACCCTTTCACGTCTGTCACATGTGCTCGGGGGGTGAACCTGCTCTCATCTGTGAAAAGCACAGAGTGCGAGTGGCAGACCTGCCAATTCTGGTGTTCAATGGCAAATGCCAATCTAGCTCTATGGTGCTGGGCAGTGAGCACAGGGCCCACTAGAGGACGTCGGGCCCCTTAGGCCACCCTCATGAATTCTGTTTCTGATTGTTTGGTCAGACATTCACACCTGTGGCCTGCTGGAGGTCATTTTGTAGGGCTCTGGCAGCGCTCTTCCTGTTCCTCCTTGCACAAATGAGCAGATACCAGTCCTGCTGATGGGCTAAGGACCTTCTATGGCCCTGTCCAGCTCTCAGAGTAACTGTCTCCTGGAATCTCCTCCATGCTCTTGAGACTGTGCTGGGAGACACAGCAAACCTTCTGGCAATGGCACGTATTGATGTGCCATCCTGGAGGAGTTGGACTGCCTGTGCAAACTCTGTAGGGTCCAGGTATCACCTCATGCTACCCAGTAGTGACACTGACCCTAGCCAAAAGCAAAATTAGTGAAAACAGCCAGATAAGAGGAGTAGGGAAAAAATGTCAGTGGCCTCCACCTGTAAACCCATTCCTGTTTTGGGGGTTGTCTCATTGTTGCCCATCTAGTGCACCTGTTGTTAATTTCATTAACACCAAAGCAGCTGAAACTGATTAGCAACCCCTCTGCTACTTAACTGACCAGATTAATATCCCAGGACTTTAATTGACTAGATGCTATACTCTGATCAAAAGTGTTCCTTTAATTTTTTTTGAGTGGTGTGTGTGTGTATATTAAAGCATAATTAACAAAACTAACAAAAGACAAAACTTTCTTTTTTTACATTTTGGATAGAGTGGAGATGGATTAGAACACCTGTCAAGTTTTTATTGCTGCCTGTGCCCATGTTAGGGAGATTCACCCAATTTGTCCTGTTTGCTATCATGACTTAAAGTTATAGAAAATCCCAAACTTTGAGTTGTCCCCAGAACAGGAAAAGGGAGAAAACCATCCAATGGGGACCCCAGTTCTGGTGACAACCCAGGATTCCCTTCACTTTGGAGGAATTTTCTCTCACTTCCGGTTGTGGTTATGGGGCAGGAAGTGAAGGGGAATCACCCCAAAGGGAAATATAAAATTTAAAAAACTAACATTGGTTATAACCCTTCTCTATGCCATTAAAAACGTTTTATCTTTAGTTGTACTTTAAAATGCAAATGGTGCAAGGACCTGAATTTGGCTTGGCATCAGCCTCTTGTAGAAAAGAACTCAAACTGGAAGAGGGAGGGCAGCACTAGGAGCCAAGCAATACACAGACAGGAGAAGACAGCAGTGGGCACTACGAGCCAAGCAATACACTGAGAGAAGAAGCGAGCAGTAGGTACTATGAGCTAAGCAGTATTACTGACAGGACAAGAGAGAAGTGGGCACTATGAGCCAAGGAATACACTGACAGGAGAAGAGAGCCGTGGGCACTATGAGCCAAGCAATACACTGACAGGACAAGAGAGCAGTGGGCACTATGAGCCAAGCAATACACTGACAGGACAAGAGAGCAGTGGGCACTATGAGCCAAGCAATACACTGACACAAGACAGCAGTGGGCACTATGAGCCAAGCAATACACTGACAGGACAAGAGAGCAGTGGGCGCTATGAGCCAAGCAATACACTGACAGGACAAGAGAGCAGTGGGCGCTATGAGCCAAGCAATACACTGACAGGACAAGAGAGCAGTGGGCCAAGCTACACTGAGCCAAGCAATACACTGACAGGACAAGAGAGCAGTGGGCGCTATGAGCCAAGCAATACACTGACAGTGGAGCAGTGGGCGCTATGAGCCAAGCAATACACTGACAGGAATAGAGCACGCTATGAGCAAGCAATACACTGACAGGACAAGAGAGCAGTGGGCGCTATGAGCCAAGCAATACACTGACAGGACAAGAGAGCAGTGGGCGCTATGAGCCAAGCAATACACTGACAGGACAAGAGAGCAGTGGGGCGCTATGAGCCAAGCAATACACTGACAGGACAAGAGAGCAGTGGGCGCTATGAGCCAAGCAATACACTGACAGACAGACAAGAGAGCAGTGGGCGCTATGAGCCAAGCAATACACTGACAGGACAAGAGAGCAGTGGGCGCTATGAGCCAAGCAATACACTGACAGGACAAGAGAGCAGTGGGCACTATGAGCCAAGCAATACACTGACAGGACAAGAGAGCAGTGGGCACTATGAGCCAAGCAATACACTGACAGGACAAGAGAGCAGTGGGCACTATGAGCCAAGCAATACACTGACAGGACAAGAGAGCAGTGGGCACTATGAGCCAAGCAATACACTGACAGGACAAGAGAGCAGTGGGCACTATGAGCCAAGCAATACACTGACAGGACAAGAGAGCAGTGGGCACTATGAGCCAAGAAATACACTGACAGAAGACAGCAGTGGGCACTATGAGCCAAGAAATACACTGATAGGACAAGAGAGCAGTAGGCACTATGAGCCAAGCAATACACTAACAGAAGACAGCAGTGGGCACTACGAGCCAAGCAATACACAGACAGGAGAGTAGTGGGCACTATGAGCCAACCAATATACTGACAGGAGAAGACAGCAGTGGGCACTATGAGCCAAGCAGTATACTGACAGGACAAGAGAATAGTGGGCACTATGAGCCATCAGCGATACACTGACAGGAGAAGACAGCAGTGGGCACTATGAGCCAAGCAATACACTGACAGAAGAGAGCAGTGGGCTGAACTCATCAGTCTACTGCTCCTTCCTCGTCCAATCACAGGTTAGGTTGGAAAGGTGACCAGGCTATGTAACTAAAATGCAACAGAGAATAGTTAGGTCAGCAGTGTGACAGTGCTGTATAAAATCTAAGGAGTGGATGGATAGAAATACAAAATGTTTGCTAGGAAACCATTTGAACAATGAATTTAGTTGTGTGCCTGAAGTTCATCTTCTAGCAGTTTATCCAGTACCTCCCATCTTTCTACAGACAGGTCAGATGAGGCTGGGCCAGGGCCTGCCTATGTTTGTTATGGACACTGCAGAATTAGCAGGAATCTTGGCCTATGTCCAGGAACGGTCTGCTCAGTAAACCTATAGCCATTGTAATCAGATTAGCAGGCACAGTGATCACGGGGAGGAAGGGGTCACCAGTCCATAGCTCTATGACAGCTGTCATCACACACCTCACGTTCCTGTCACCAGGGATCTGGTGCTTTCCTTGACTGGACCCAAAGGGAGTTCAGCTGTATCACTGGAATCCTCCTCCCAGCACGACTCGGCCTCTCAGTCCCGGGATGGTGGGCGAGTTGTGGCCGACTGGCAGTGGCCTCTTCTCATACCAGTTGTGCCGCCAACTACCACCCACCTCCTCCTCCACACTCCCCGCTGACCCAGCTCACCTCACACACAACACGATCCACCATCACCAGCCCCGTCCACGTCACTGCCGGCTTGCCGAGTACTGCGGAACACGTGACCACGCCAGAGCACGTGATCCGGGGAAGATGGCGGCGCCCAGGAGTTCCTCGCCTCCTGAGGATGACTCTGACAGCAGCTGTAGTGATGAGGAGAGGCTCAGGCTGAAGGAGGCGGCATGGGTGCCCCCGGGTGAGAGGAGCAGGGTGTATACATTCCGAGGGAGTATTCACATGAAGGGGGCACGTGGGGTGATCATTGTTTATCATAGCAAGAACCGAGCCTGGGGTGAGGGAAGATGAACGCGGCCTGGTCTAGGGGATGGCTGGTTTCCCATTCATTGCTATGGCTCCACATCACCTTATTAAATAACAGCTGACGTAGTTTTATAAGGTCAGGTAGGTAGAGCAGGGCTTGACAAACATGCTATGAAATTAGGAGGCAGCTAAAAACAGGAGCCAGTTTTTGTTTTTTGTTTTTTTTTATATGTAGCGTGGCTTGTTAGCGCCCGGTGCAAAGCAACTCTTGGGCGAAAAGCTTTATGTGAGTTGTCGTGCAGCAAAACCGCACCACCTTTTAGGTGTCATTGAAAATAATGGCACCTGAACCTGCGTTTTGCAATCGCAGAGATTCTGCTGCAATCCCGAAACACCCAGGTGTGAATGGAGCCGCTCTGGTTCACACATGCCATTCTGGATATGTTTTCAAATGCCAAGATTCCTATGACAGGCTAGATATTATGTGTTCCTATTGAGCAGGGTCACACAGATGCGATCCACACGCGTGTATTGAGTGCCATTGCAAAAAGGGTAATATGCAAGTTTGTAGCGGTGCGTTCCGGACTCCCAAGTGGTAAGAGAGTGGCATGTGGAGATAAGTGTTCACATAGGATTGCTATTGACAGGAGTTTTTGCATTACCACTAGCCTACAGGGCACTTATACCCTCTTACTGCCCAGGCCAATTTCCAGCTTTCAGCGCTGTCACACTTTGAATGACAATTGCACGGTCATGCAACACTACCCATATGAAATTTTTATCATTTTTTTTTAGACAAATAGAGCTTTATTTTGGTTGTATTTAATCACCTCTGGGTTTTTTATTTTTTTCTTAAACAAACCAAAAACCACTGAAAATTTTGAAAAAAAAAAGTTTTTTCTTAGTTTTTGTTATAAAATGTTGTAAATAATTGATTTTTCTCCTTCACTGATGTGTGCTAATGAGGCTGCACTGATGGGCAGATAGGCTGCACAGATCGACACTGATAGATGGCACTGATTAGGCACTGGTAGGTGGCACTGATGGGCATTGACAGGCATCACTGATGGGTGCTGAAAGGCAGCACTGATACATGGCACTGATAGGCGGCACTGACTGGCACTGATAGGTGGCACTGATTGGCATTGATAGATGGCACTGATGGCACTGATGGGTGACACTGAAAGGCAGCTCAGATGGGCACTGATATGTGGCACTGATGGGCACTGGCACGAGGCACTGATGAGCACTGACATAAGGCACTGATGGACACTGACAGGTGGCACTGCTGGGGCTACACTGATCATCAGGGCACACTGATCATCAGTGCCCTGATGATCAGTGTACATGTCCCCTCCGCGGAAAGTTGATTACCGGCTCTCCTCACCTGTCGAGCTGTCAGCGTGACCGTTCGAGAGGAGAGAAATGCCGATAACCGGCATTTCCTTGTTTACATGTGATTGGACACAGCTGATCACATGACCGAGCCGACATCTTTGGCTCTTTCCGTGATCGGTGATCACAGCGCACTGCCGATCACCGCTCTGCACGCTCCCTGAGCCGAGCATGCGCACTGAGAATGGGAGGACGTCATATGACGTCCTCCCAGAACGAGAGAACCACCTTGCGCCTGTCATATTGCTATATGGCGGGCGGGAGGTGGTTAAAGTCTGTGGGAGGCGATTTTTTTATTGAAGTCTGTGGGAGGCGGTTTTGCATTGAAAAACAAATAAACAGCGCAAATCAACACCTCAAACAATGCATTAAATATAGTGTAAAAATCAATAAACATATATGAGATTTTCAAATTAATGAATTAAAGTGACCCTTCAAAAGAAAATTCCTTTTTTAAAAAATATCAATTTATATTATAGTGTCCAAATAAAAGAAAAAGTCCTTTCTCCCCAATAAATTGTGAAAAAACAAATATCCAAACGAAATGATGCTTCCACCAATCACCAGTGAAAAACCAACATCAACCGTACTCACCAGATGATGGTGAGTATGGCGCCTTCTAGGATATGATGGGCTCCTAGACCCCCTTTATGAGCTTCCAGGGCTCCTTCCCACCATATAGGATATACAGGAGGGGAGTGGAAGAAACTCCCTCCTGTATATCCTATATGGTGGGAAGGAGCCCTGGAAGCTCATAAAGGGGGTCTAGGAGCCCATCATATCCTAAAAGGCGCCATACTCATCATCATCTGGTGAGTACGGTTGATGTTGGTTTTTCACTGGTGATTGGTGGAAGCATCATTTCGTTTGGATATTTGTTTTTTCACAATTTATTGGGGAGAAAGGACTTTTTCTTTTATTTGGACACTATAATATAAAATATATTTTTTTAAAAAGGAATTTTCTTTTGAAAGGTCACTTTAATTAATTAATTTGAAAATCTCATATTTTTATTGATTTTACACTATATTTAAGGCATTGTTTGAGGTGTTGATTTGTGCTGTTTATTTGTTTTTTTTATGTTTTGGTGTTTAATTACCTGTGCTTTTTTGCGATTTTGCAATTGAATTCTGTGGGAGCGATTTTGCATTGAAGTCCTGTGCGAGGGATTTTGCATTGAATTTGTGGGAGGCGATTTTGCATTGAAGTCTGTGGGAGGCGTTTTGCATTGAAGTCTGTGGGGAGGCGATTTTGCATTGAAGTCTGTGGGAGGCGATTTTGCATTGAAGTCTGTGGGAGGCGATTTTGCATTGAAGTCTGTGGGAGGCGATTTTTCATTGAAGCCTGTGGGAGGCGATTTTTCATTGAAGTCTGTGGGAGGCGATTTTTCATTGAAGTCTGTGGGAGGCGATTTTTCATTGAAGTCTGTGGGAGGCGATTTTTCATTGAAGCCTGTGGGAGGCGATTTTTCATTGAAGCCTGTGGGAGGCGATTTTTCATTGAAGCCTGTGGGAGGCGATTTTTCATTGAAGTCTGTGGGAGGCGATTTTTCATTGAAGCCTGTGGGAGGCGATTTTTCATTGAAGCCTGTGGGAGGCGATTTTTCATTGAAGCCTGGGAAGGCGATTTTTCATTGAAGCCTGTGGGAGGCGATTTTTCATTGAAGCCTGTGGGAGGCGATTTTTCATTGAAGCCTGTGGGAGGCGATTTTTCATTGAAGCCTGTGGGAGGCGATTTTTCATTGAAGCCTGTGGGAGGCGATTTTTCATTGAAGCCTGTGGGAGGCGATTTTTCATTGAAGCCTGTGGGAGGCGATTTTTCATTGAAGTCTGTGGGAGGCGATTTTTCATTGAAGTCTGTGGGAGGCGATTTTTCATTGAAGTCTGTGGGAGGCGATTTTGCATTAAAGTTTATAGGAGGCGGTTTTTGCATTGAAGTTGATCGGAGAGGCGATTTTGCATTAAAGTTTGTGGGAGGTGTTTTTAAATTAAAGTCTGTGGGAGGAGATTTTGCATTGAAGTTTATCTGAGGCGATTTTGCCTTGTGAAGTCCATGGAAGGCAGTGTGTGAACCCAGGCACCAGGACACAACTTCTAGTCACCATGGCGCCTAGGATTTGTCGAGCCCTGATGTAGGGCAGAGGGAGCTGCTGGAAGTGTAACTAAGGGCAAAACATTTTTTTCATTTTTGGGTAGAGCCTGGTTCAGACCTTTGCAGGGTTTTTTGGTGCTTTTTCAGAAACGCACTACAGTCCATTTAACATGGTTTCCTATGGGACACATTCACATCTAGGCTTTTTTCAGCTGCTGCATTTTTGGAAAGGCTCAGGGACAGTGTGTTTTTGATTTAATATGCTTCAATGGAGACGTTGCAGAAAAGCATGTAGTGCATTTTTTATAAGTTTTGATGTGTGTTGCGTTTTTTAATCTGCTCAACAACAAATTGGCCAAAAATGCATTAAAAAGTGCCAAAAACCTAAAACACACTGCTAAAAGCACTGCAAAAACAGATAAAAAGCAAACTGCATAGGTGTGAACCAAGGGAGGATTGTATCCCCTGTCAGGTTTTTTTTTATTTGCCATCTGTGTCTCACTGGGGAGGTTTCCCTTCACTTTCTGTCCCATAGCCAAAACAGGAAGTGAGAGGAAATCCCTGCAAATGAAGGGAATCCCTTGGGGGCCCCCCAAGTCATCGGAACTAGTGTCCTCGTTGGAAGATTTCCCCTCTGTTACTGTTCTGTGTCAAACCAAAATTTGTGATTTACTTTCACTTTTAATGAAAATGGTAAACAGGAGATATAGGGAGAATCATCCTAACAGTGCACAGACAGAAATAAAAACTGACAGGTGTTCTAAGCCCTCTCCACTCTATCTAAAGCTAAAAAATAAAAAGTTTTATCTTTAGTTACACTAGATGGAAGCACCATGGGTGTTCCCGGGTGAGAGAACCAAGGGCCCCTTCCCCAGCAGGGTGACGGCCAGCCCCGTGGCCCTTCCTCCACACGTGGTTTCGACAAAGATTGTTAGAAGAAAGAAAAGTAAACCGTGCAATGCACCGAAAACTGAACTGCCCCACACACCACTATCAGATTGCCAGAATTGGCCTTTAGACTTCAGCTGGCCTGCCCTAAGTTCAGGTGGTGCTGACAAACCCTTTTGCACCAAATTTTCTAATGCTAATTGGGTATTCCCTTACCATCTTTCAGGGTAGTTCCTTTCTCTCTCCATACAGAAAGCTTGATAGCAAAGTGTGTTTTGAGTGCTATTGAGCCCATAAGGAGTTTCTGTCATCCAGCAGTTTGACTCAAAGCTCCTTTTAGAAGGTGGAATTTGGTTAGTAGTACATGAAACAGAATTGTACACATGAAACAGCTCTTGAAGCAGACATATCCCCAATAGATATGAGGTGCTTCCTGGAGTGTGGCTGCAGATTTTTACATGGACAACAGATTAACCACCTGACTAGAGCACTTTAACTCCCTTCCTGCCCAGGCCAATTTTCAGCTTTTGGTATTCCCACAGTTTGACAATTGCACGGTCATGCAACAGTGTACCCAAACTAAATTTTTATCATTTTTTTCACAATTGGGGCTTTCTTTTTGTGGTATTTATCCACCACTGGGTTTTTTTATTTTTTGCTATATAAAATTGTATTAAAAAAAAACCAAGTTTTTTTTTTTGTGTTAAAAACATTTTTGCAAATAAATAATTGTTCTTCATAAATTTAGCCCAAAATGTATTTTTTTTGTGAAAATAACCCAAATTAGTATATATTATTTAGTTTGTAGGAAAGTCATAGAGTACACATCTATGATATTTATCTGAAAATCGATTAATCCTGATGTACTGACGGCACCGATCTTATTTCTTGAGGCCCAAAAATGTCAGGACGGCACAAATACCTCCAGATTACCCCTTTTTGGCAAGTAGACAGTCTGTGGTATTTAGTAAGAGGCATGGCGAGTTTTTTGAAGTTGTAATTTTTTGGAAAATGAAGAAATAATAAAAAAAAATTCACATTTTTTTTCATCACATACTGTCACCATGCAGTACAGAGTTAATATAACTGGGGTGGTGGTGATAAGGGACACTGACTGGTGACCCTGCGGGGGACTCTCTCCCCACCCCCCCCACCCCCGAAAGTATTGTGGCCGCCTGCCTTTAAACACACATGAACTTTAAAGGCATCCCAGTCTTAGTCCATAGGGTTCAATATTGAGTTGGCCCGCCCTTTGCAGCTATAACAGCTTCAACTCTTCTGGGAAGGCTGTCCACAAGGTTTAGGAGTGTGTCTATGGGAATGTTTAACCATTCTTCCAGAAGCACATTTGTGAGGTCAGGCAATGATGTTGGACGCTCTGATTCATCTCAAAGGTGTTCTATGGGGTTGAGGTCAGGACTCTGTGCAGACCTGTCAAGTTCCTCCACCCCAAACTTGCTTATCCATGTCTTTATGAACCTTGCTTTGTACACTGGTGCCCAGTCATGTTGAAACAGGAAGGGGCCATCTCCAAACTGTTCCCACAAAGTTGGGAGCATGATATTGTCCAAAATGTCTTGGTATGCTGACGCCTTAAGATTTCCCTTAACTGGAACTAAGGTACTAAGCCCAACCCCTGAAAAACAACCCCATGCCATAATCCCCCCTCCACCAAACTTTACACTTGGCACAATGCAGTCAGGCAAGTACCGTTCTCCTGGCAACCGCTAAACCCAGACAGGTCCATCAGATTGCTTGAAGAAAAGCATGATTCATCACTCCACAGAACATGTGTTAGGGAGCGACCGGCGGTAGCCTCTAGCGCTCCACAGACCGGGATTCCCCAGGGGAGCAGAATCTAAGCTCCGACCTGCTTGTTCACCAGAGCCCCTGATGGTGGGGATGGACTTGGAGCAGGCTGAAACCAGGTCGCGGCCCCTGGGTGCAACCAGCTGTGGTAGAGGCACTTGCCGGTGGTACGTAGCAGGTGAGAGCCTGATGTGAAAAGGTGGAGTGAGCGAAGTCAGACAGGCCAGGTCGGTAACGGTGGATGCAGAACAGTACAAGCGGCAGGCAGAAGGATAAACTGGTCACAGGCCAGGTTCAGCAACAGGAGGTCAAACGTACAGGATAAGACAGGAGAATGGTCAGACAAGCCAGGGATCAGAGCAGGAGACAGTCAACGGATCAGGGTCAGGCAGGGTCGGCAACAAGGCAATCTCTCAGGAACACAGGATAACAGGAAAGAGACCATACGGCAACATGAGCCCTACAGGAGCTGGTTTAAATAGCGCACCATGTGGCGTCATTGGTGCCAGGCACACGCCCGTGTGCGCGAGTGTGCATGCGCGACCGCAATTGCCGCCGCGGGCACCCCGGTCCTAAAGCCTGCATGTTCGTGTGCCGGCGTACTCCACGCATGTGCAGACCCACGCGGCGCATTCCGCGATTCCTGACAACATGTCTCCACTGCTCTAGAGTCCAGTGGCGCCATGCTTTACACCACTGCATCCAACGCTTTGCATTGCACTTGGTGATGTAAGGCTTGGATGCAGCTGCTCGACTATGGAAACCCATTTCATGAAGCTCTCTACACACTGTTGTGCTAATCTAAAGGCCACACAAAGTTTGGAGGTCTTTGGCCTATTGACTCTGCAGACAGTTGGTGACTTCTGCACACTGTGCGCTTCAGCATGCGTGGACCCCGCTCTGTCAGTTTACGTGGCCTACCACTTCGTGGCTGAGTAGCTGTTGTTCCCAGTTGCTTCCACTTTGTTATAATACCACTAACAGTTGACCATGGAATATTTAGTAGCAAGGAAATTTCACGGATGGACTTATTGTACAGGTGGCAGCCTATCACAGTACCATGCTTGAATTCGCTAAGCTCTTGAGAGTGACCCATTCTTTCACAAATGTTTGTAGAAGCAGTCTGCATGCCTAGGTGTTTGATTTTATACACCTGTGACCATGGAGGTGATTGGAACACCTGAATCCAATGATTTGGAGGGGTGTCCGAACATCCCAACATTTTTGACAATATAGTGTATGTATGTGTAATATACATATGTGTGTGTGTATGTGTGTATATATATATATATATATACACACACATTGGGGCAAAAAAGTATTTAGTCAGCCACCAATTGTGCAAGTTCTCCCACTTAAAAAGATGAGAGAGGCCTGTAATTGGCATCATAGGTAGACCTCAACTATGAGAGACAAAATGAGAAAACAAATCCAGACAATCACATTGGCTGATTTGGAAAGAATTTATTTGCAAATTATGGTGGAAAATAAGTATTTGGTCACCTACAAACAAGCAAGATTTCTGGCTCTCACAGGCCTGTAGCTTCTTCTTTAAGAGGTTCCTCTGTCCTGCACTCATTACCTGTATCAGTGGCACCTGTTTTGAACTTGTTATCAGTATAAAAGACACCTGTCCACAACCTCAAACAGTCACACTCAAACTCTACTTTGGTGAAGACCAAAGAGCTGTCGAAGGACACCAGAAACAAAATTGTAGACCTGCACCAGGCTGGGAAGACTGAATCTGCAATAGGCAAGCAGCTTGGTGTGAACAAATCAACTGTGGGAGCAATAATTAGAAAATGGAAGACATACAAGACCACTGATAATCTCCCTCGATCTGGGGCTACACGCAAGACGCAAGATCTCACCCCGTGGGGTCAAAATGATCACAAGAACGGTGAGCAAAAATCCCAGGACCCCACGGGGGGACCTAGTGAATGACCTGCAGAGAGCTGGGACCAACCTAAACAAAGGCTACCATCAGTAACACACTACGCCGCCAGGGACTCAGATCCTGCAGTGCCAGACGTGTCCCCCTGCTTAAGCCAGTACATGTCCGGGCCCGTCTGAAGTTTTCTAGAGAGCATTTGGATGATCCAGAAGAGGATTGGGAGAATGTCATATGGTCAGATGAAACCAAAATAGAACTGTTTGGTAGAAACACAACTCGTCGTGTTTGGAGGAGAGAGAATGCTGAGTTGCATCCAAAAGAACACCATACCTACTGTGAAGCATGGGGGTGGCAACATCATGCTTTGGGGCTGTTTCTCCTCAAAGGGACCAGGATGACTGATCCATGTACAGGACAGAATGAATGGGGCCATGTATCATGAGATTTTGAGTGCAAACCTCCTTCCATCAGCAAAGGCATTGAAGATGAAATGTGGCTGGGTCTTCCAACATGACAATGATCCCAAACATACCGCCCGGGCAACGAAGGAGTAGCTTCGTAAGAAGAATTTCAAGGTCCTGGAGTGGCCTAGCCAGTCTCCAGATCTCAACCCTTATAGAAAACCTTTGGAGGGAGTTGAAAGTCCGTGTTTGCCCAGCGACAGCCCCAAAAAATCACTGCTCTAGAGGAGATCTGCATGGAGGAATGGGCCAACATACCAGCAACAGTGTGTGCCAACCTTGTGAAGACTTACAGGAAATGTTTGAACTCTGTCATTGCCAACAAAGGATATATAACAAAGTATTGAGATGAACTTTTGATATTGACCAAATACTTATTTTCCACCATAATTTGGAAATAAATTCTTTCCAAATCAGCCAATGTGATTGTCCGGATTTGCTTTCTCATTTTGTCTCTCATAGTTGAGGTCTACCTATGATGCCAATTACAGGCCTCTCACATCTTTTTAGTGGGAGAACTTGCACAATTGGTGGCTGACTAAATACTTTTGTGCCCCACTGTGTGTGTGTGTGTGTGTGTATGTGTATATATATATATATATATATATATATATATATATATATATATATATATATATATACAGGTGAAACTCGAGAAATTAGAATATTGTGCAAAAGTTCATTTATTTCAGTAATGCAACTTAAAAGGTGAAACTAATATATGAGATAGACTCATTACATGCAAAGCAAGATACTTCAAGCCGTGATGATTTGTCATAATTGTGATGATTATGGCTTACAGCTCATGAAAACCCCAAATCCACAATCTCAGAAAATTTGAATATTGTGAAAAGGTGCAATATTTTAGGCTCAAAGTGTCCCACTCTAATCAGCTAATTAAGCCATAACACCTGCAAAGGGTTCCTGAGCCTTTTAAATGGTCTCTCAGTCTGGTTCAGTAGGAATCACAATCATGGGAAAGACTGCTGACCTTACAGTTGTGCAGAAAACCATCATTGACACCCTCCATAAGGAGGAAAAGCCTCAAAAGGTAATTGCAAAAGAAGTTGGCTGTTCCCAAAGTGCTGTATCAAAGCACATTAATAGAAAGTTATGTGGAAGGGAAAAGTGTGGAAGAAAAAGGTGCACAAGCAGCAGGGATGACCGCAGCCTGGAGAGGATTGTCAGGAAAAGGCCATTTTCACAAGGGGATTTTCACAAGGAGTGGACTGAGGCTGGAGTCAGTGCATCAAGAGCCACCATACACAGATGGATCCTCGACATGGGCTTCAAATGTCGTATTTCTCTTGTCAAGCCGCTCCTGAACAACAAACAACGTCAGAAGTGTCTTACCTGGGCTAAAGAAAAACAGACCTGGTCTGTTGCTCAGTGGTCCAAAGTCCTCTTTTCTGATGAGAGCAACTTTTGCATCTCATTTGGAAACCAAGGACCCAGAGTATGGAGGAAGAATGGAGAGGCACACACTGCAAGATGCTTGAAGTCCAGTGTGAAGTTTCCACAGTCTGTGTTGATTTGGGGAGCCATGTCATCTGCTGGTGTTGGTCCACTGTGCTGCATTAAGTCCAGGGTCAACGCAGCCGTCTACCAGGAGATTTTGGAGCACTTCATGCTTTCTTCCGCAGACGAGCTTTATGGGGATGCTGACTTCATTTTCCAGCAGGACTTGGCACCTGCCCACACTGCCAAAAGCACCAAAACCAGGTTCAGTGACCGTGGGATTACTGTGCTTGATTGGCCAGCAAACTTGCTTGACCTGAACCCCATAGAAAATCTATGGGGCATTGCCAAGAGAAAGATGAGAGACATGAGACCCGAACAATGCAGAACAGCTGAAGGCCGCTATTGAAGCATCCTGGTCTTCCATAACACCTCAGCAGTGCCACAGGCTGATAGCTTCCATGCCACGCCGCATTGAGGCAGTAATTGCTGCAAAAGGGGCCCAAATGAAGTACTGAGTACATATGCATTTTTATTCCAATTTTTTTTATATTACTGTGGTCTCAGTAATATAATGTTACCATAGTAACATAGTACTACTCAGTGTGTTCAGTATTTTTTTTTTAACACATTATGATTGCCTATAGCAGTGAATTTCACTGCTATAGGCAAGCATATACTTGAATGAAATCAATTCGTCCAGTGTTTTTTTGTTGTGATTAGCTGTGATTGGCCACAACTAATCACATGACACAGATGGGTTGTGGTTGACCAATCACAGCTAACGACAGAATTGTATACAAAGGACGGCAAGAAAGAAAGCCATTCATTGTTTACAATTGTCATGTGACCTGCTGTGATTGGCCACAGCAGGTCACATGGTACTAGCAATGGGTGAGAGATCTCGCCGCAAACCCGTCCATGAGCAAGGCAGCAATCAAGGAGGACGTCATATGATGCTACCTGGATTGACGAGAGTCCTGCTCAGCCGTCATTCTCCTATAGGGCAGACGGGAACTGGTTAAGGTAGCCTGTATAATGGTAACGTTTACTGAGTTCTCACAAAGCTGGGTGAAAGGGCAAGGACACCATGTTCAGATTGCAGTCATGACAGTTTGTCACACATGGTGGTGAATAGCAGCATTAGTTCCCTTCTTACATTCCCCAGGAAGCCATCTGGCCCTATAAACAACTGTTAAGTAATACCAAGACTTTATTTTCAATTCCTTGATCAGACACACAGACTCAATCCCCCATTCCAGTCTGCAGACCTAATAAAACTCTCACCCTTGCAAGCTTGAGCAATTAAGACAACTAACAGATGGGCAGTCGTAAATAGCTCAGCAGAAGAAATAGCACCTAGCTATACCTCAAACCTTGTCTCAAAATATGACCCAAACCATTCATTTCGCTCCTTCAAATACCCTCTGCTCTTTAGCTCCCTTGCCTCCACCTCCCATGCTTTGGTTCAGGGCCTTTGCTTCAGGACTTCCCAGAGAATCTCCCATCCTCTGGAATTTCCTACCTTCTCTCATTTTATGATCTGCACTGTTGTCCTGTAAGCAACCTATACATCATACAATCTTCTTTCTTTCCACCATGGGTGGAAGGATAGAAAATCATTGATTTCCCCATCAACACAGTTCATGTTAATGAGGGAATCCCTCCTGCAGTGGTATTGTGTTCTGGTTGTACTGAAGATGATCGGTGGATCCCTGTTGAACTGGATAAATTTTGATCCACCTATGGCTGGCTTTAGGCAATCCCTGAAAACTCATCTCTTTACAGAAGCCTGTCCTGCTTATACTGAATACCTGTACATTCTCCATCACCTCATCCCTCACAGTTGTTCTCTTTTATTTCACTTGCCTCTTGCTGTTAGATTGTAAGCTCTACTGAGCAGGAGGACCTTCTTAAACCTCTTGACTTCAATTGTTCTGTAACTATACTGTCCTCCTTTATTTTGTAAAGTGTTACTGCATTTATTTTGAAAACTGTGTAATGACCAGTTTAGTAATATTGAAAAGCTGGTAAATGTCCCTTTTTACACCATCTTTAAGTGTCATTTGAGCTTATGCTAGCATTCCATTTACATATTTTTGACCTTTTGTGTTACAGGTGTAAAGAATTGTATTCAGCGTCAGCAGGATTCTGTTGCACATGTTATGCCAAGTCTAAGGTACATATTTTTTTTTCTGCAATATTTATAGCACTGACATAATCCTCGGTACACTAAGTGCATTGGCTCATGCTATGGTCATACAGACACATGTGCATACTTGAGTCAGTTTGTTCAATTGCCAAATAGCCTACCTTTATGTTTCTAGATTATACGAAGAAACTGACACAGTCACAGGAGTATAATATACATTCTGTGCAGATCATGAATTGGTGGATATTGAACCAAGGTCCTCAGTATAAACCACTAAGTTATCTGGTGTCATGTTGCTTCCTGTATTACAATTTGTTATTAGACAATAGGGCACATTCACACCAGCCCGCACCCTAAAATGCATGCAACCTGGTATCATTGAGAGTAGGGGTGGTGCTTTGCATTGTTACAAGGCACTGTTGACTTTTTTCTCTGTTATCAAGTGGCACAAAATTAAACTTTGTTTAAGTCTATGCACCACAGGGTGGTATGGTAAGTTGCACTGTGTAAAATGCATCCAAACAACCTACCTCAGTGCAGTGTTGTGGTGTGAACAGGACACATACAAAAGAAATGTCTTCTACGTGCGGGTTCAACGCCACTCAGTGGAAGTAGTGTGAATGAGACCTAATGGATGTGTATGTAAACCTGTGCTCTCTCTACAGGGTTCGCCCTGACAACCATGAGCATGATGGAAATGAACTGCAAACTACACCTGAATTTCGCACACATGTAGCCAAGAAGCTTGCTGCCATACTGGACAGGTAAATGAAGTATCCTGATACTCTGACATAGGCCACCTGACGGTGTACCCTTTATGTTTATCAGCTTTTCTTGTGACTTTCAGCTGCATTAAAGAAGTTCCAGGAAGCGGCAATCTGCAAGAGCATAAAGAAGAAACTGAACCAGAAGATGAAGGTAAGTATATGTAAAGCCCAATTTATTTTTTTTACTTTGTATAAGGAAGAGAATGATTAAAACACTTTTTATTGCTATCTCTGTCTCATTGGGAAAATTTCTGTTTATGTCCTAACCTGAAGTCACAAGAAGAAAAGAGGAAATCTCTCCAAAGTGAAGGAATTCATCGTTGACCGTATCATTGAAACAGATGTCCCCAGTAGAAGCTTTCTCTTGTATTCCTGTTCTGGTGGCAAATCACTTTCTGTCTTGGTGACAGTGGCCACTGGGATAATAGGGAGAGTAAGTCACCCTAATGGAGTCACAGTGGGGGAATAAGCTTGCACAATTCTTTTAAATTTAGAACATGGAGCATATGCTGTGGCCGTCACAGTTAGCACAAAGGACAGAGAATGGAAAGCTGCATACCTCGCAGCTCTCTGTCCCCGCTTGGCCCAGAGCAGAGGGAGGGGGAGCTTGTTAACTCTAACCCTTTGCAGTCTATGCTTGTGTGTTATCACTGCATGGGCAGAGAGAGGGATGTGAGCTGTTTGCTGACACCTTACATCCCTATGACATGTTCGCACCTGGGGGGATCTGCGCCAGTTTTCTATATGAAAAACTGCCGTACTCTGTTAATCAGGTACACACCCTGCGCTAGTTTCTATTTCACTCTGTATTTCAATCTTTTTATTCAAGTTTTAGAGAGAAAAAAACTATTCTTCCAATGGCAGGAAATATCACTTACATGTAACTTGGATAAACAGAAAGTGTGATAAGTATGGATATACAGAATAGGGATTGGTATGAACTCGGTTACTATCAAGAATGTCGGCTGGCAATAAACAAAGCCCATGTGAACTGTAAGCTCTTCACAAACCATATGTATTTAGCAGTTGGATTTAATTCAATCTATAAATGACAGCCTAACATTTACAGGAGTTCTATTTCACTTTGAAATAGAAACTGGTGCAGATAGACTTGAAACAGGTATATTTGCTCTGTTAATGTGCCACTTATGAAAGCGTACTGCGCCATTATAATGGCACAGGAAGTGTGGCTAATTCTCAGCAAAAACACTAAGATAAAAATGACAGTGGTCTTGTACCCATGGATGTATGTTCTTTTGACCGGTTTCTTTTGATGTATCTGGAAACTGCCTTTCTTTATCGTACATCATGGGACACAGAGCAGGCTATATTCATTACTATCTGGGTTTTGCACCACATATGGGTGAATGGACATGTGCAGACCAAAGAGGAAGTCCTCCTCTATATAACCCTTTCCATACAGGAAGTACCTCCAGTTTTTTTCGCCAGTGTCTGAAGGTGATGGTCACGGATATTATACTCTGTGAGAACACTGCTTTTCCAAAAATTGTTCTTTTAGTAATCAAGGGGCTGACTGATCGGATCCATTTGGATGGCTGAACCCTAAGATAAATGTTACTTGAGCCTCGTATGGAAGGACTCAATAAGGTTTTGCCTGTAATGCGACTTTTTTTGGTGCTGGACAATGTGTCACAGAACCCTGTGCATGTTCTAATGACCAAGGTGTTTCTGGCAGGGTGCTGTACGGGTCCAAGAGACCCCCTTGGTTTTCTCAAGAGTAAGAGAAGAAAAAGAGATGTATTTTAAATGCATTCTTGGAAGGGTAGTCTCAATACTCTTTTTTTGCAATATATGCATTTTTAAGTACTGATCTTTTCTGTGCAATTACAGCAGTAAAGCTTAATCACAGCCTTGGTGCCTGTTGTTTTATATTTGGCCAATAGGGGGCATCAGGTGTTAGTTATGCTCTGAGAGCTCTGTGTATTCTTGGCAACATGTCTTACTTGCTTGAAGTCATGACAATGAACAGATGGACTCTTGATATTTAGTAATGGAGCACCTGCAAGGGCCACAAGCCAGAGCATAGGGCAAGCGGGGTAGTCCACCACGCACGTGTATTAGCGCTCAGAAGCCAAAGGTAGCCGTGTTACTTAGGGAAGCAGTGTCTTCCATGTCGGTCTTCTGTTAGCTACGGCAAGGAACACAGAGCAGGCTATCCATCTGGGCACGTGAGTACTTGGGTGTGGTTACAGGAGGCCAATGTGGACTATGTACAGGTTTAAGTGTTGCATCTTGCTGTTAGGCTGTGATAGTTGCTGATGCTGGTTTACAGCCTTGCATAGTGGGGTGCTGAACTGGCAGGTTGGCTGTTGTGCAAAAACAAGCCCCGGTTGCATTTGTTATTGCGCTTTTGAGTAAGCAATGTCTTCCAGAAAGCGGCGTGGTGGACTTACAGCAGGAAGGGGCACATGTGCCGCCGTCAGGTTCTGAGGATCCTAGTCTGGGTTCTGCTGACAGACCATGGACGACTGGTTAATCTGAGCCACTGAGCTTATCCATCATTGTGGAGGGTCAGGCAGAGGACTCGGGAGTCAATGCCTGAGGAGGTCCTTGCATGTTTGACTTCACAGTCCAAGAGATTGTTGGTGCAATCTCTAATGGAAATTGTCCATGTAGGATTTAAATTGCCTCCATTGAAGATATCTGAAGCTTCCTGCTCCTCTCTGGGTTCGCTGCGGCCTCTGCAGAACACTCAAGCCTTTTCATTGCACCCTCTTTTAGATATTATCTTTGTCCCTCTCAAGAGGTTTTCCATCTTGTATCCCTTGGAAGAGAAATTGGTTAAGAAATGGAGCATGCTGGCTGTTGAATAGGAATTTAACCTGTCCAGTAGAAAATGCCCAGATGTCATTGCTAAAAGCTTTGTTTGCTCTGACTGGGTCTGCAGTGCAACTTGCTGTAGTGGCAATTGGGGTTTATCAGTCCCTGCAGGACCGTGTTAAACGGTTGGTTAGGAATCTCCCTGGTCAGGGAAAGGTTGCTGCTGAGAAGGTAGCAGATTTACCCTGCGCCTTGTGCTTTGCAGTGAATGCCCTAAAATACTGAATTCAGCTGGTTTTGTGGTTGGCTCTGTTGTCAGTGCACATGTGTAGAATATTGTGTTAAAAAGTTTGTCAGCTGAATTGCCTTGCAAAAAACTGCTGGCTGGATTCCCTTTTTCATGGGGAGCAACTGTTTGGCTAGGATTTGGATAAGTATATCCATAAAATCTCAGAGAGAAAAAGTACCCTATTTCTGGTTAAAACGAGAAGTAAGCACCCATCTTTTAAAGCAGCAGGTGCCTCTGTTGCAAGCTCTGCTTCTTCCAGGTAGTTATGATGGCCACAGGCATCTGGGTCCAGAGGCAAACTTCAGGGACAGGGGCAGAAGAAGCCCTGGAGTCAGAAGCCCGCTAAGGTAGTCTCTAAGCCATCCTTATGAAGAGGCGCCTCCACTCGTGCGGGTGGGGGGAAGGCTTCTGTATTTTTTAAATGTATGGATGGAGGGGATCCAGGTCAAGTGGGTGATTTCCACAGTTTCTCAGTGGTACAGACTAGAATTTTGTGTTTTCCCCCCTCCTCGTTTTCTGAGGTTGAATATTCCCTTGGATCAGCTGAAGAGAAACTTGTTGTTTCAAGCCCTCGATCGCTTGTTATCACAAGGAGTGATTGTGGAGGTGCCCTCATGCGAGAGATTTGCAGGGTTCTACCCAACACTATTCACGATTCCAAAGCCAAATGGAGATGTGAGGCCTATCCTAGATCTCAAGGCTTTAAACCAGTCTCTAGTTGTCCTTCTGTTTCGGATGAAATCAGTCCGTTCAGTAGTGGCCTCGTTGCAGATGGGAGATTTTCTCGCATCCATAGATATCAGAGGAAAGAAGATCGGAATCCTTATTTGTATTGCCGGAAGCGGCCAGGAAAGAGTAAGCTGCATCTTAAGCAACTATTTCTCATTGGATCTGTCAGTTAATCATTCAGGCCTATGGTTTGAAGGGAAAGGATCCACCCTTTCGGGTTAGGGTGCCTTCTACCAGAGTTGTGGGAGCCTCTTGGGTGATTCGTAAAGCATCAGTGGCTCAGGTTTTCTATGCCACCACTTGGTCTTCTGTGCATACATTCACAACGTTCTACCAGGTGGATGTTAGGGCTGCAGAGGATACGGCCTTTGGTTGCAGTGTTGCAGTGGAAGAATAGGTCCTGGTCTAATAGCGGTTTCTGTGAGTGTGTCTCCCTCCCCTCAAGTATATTGCTTTGGAACATCCCAGATAGTAATGAATATAGCCTGCTCTGTGTCCTGTGATGTACAATAAAGAAAATTGGATTTTTCTCTATGTACTTTCCTGTAAAAATTCATTTCTTAGAGTACATCCCAGGACACAGAGGTCCCGCGCCTCTTTCTGGGATTTTCAATGCTTGCTACAAAACTGAGGTACTTCCTGTATGGGAAGGGGTTATATACAGTTGCACTCAATAAATTTGAATATCAAAAAGTTAATTTTATTTCAGTAATTTAATTGAAAATGTGAAACTCCTACATATATTCATTACACAGAGTGATCTATTTCAATTGTTTCTTTCTTTTAATTTTGATGATTATGACTTACAGCTAGCGAAAACCCAAAATTGAGTATCTCAGTAAATTAGAATGTTGTGAAAAAGTTCAATATTGTAGACTCATGGGGGTTTATTTACTAAAGCTGGAGAGTCCAAAATCAGACTCCCTTCTGCATAGAAACCAATCAGCTTCCAGGTTTCATTGCCAAAGCTTCATTGAACAAGCTGAGGTTAGAAGCTGATTGGTTTCTATGCAGAAGGGAGTCTGATTTTGGACTCTCCAGCTTTAGTAAATAAACCCCATGGTGTCACACTCTAATCGGCTAATTAACTAAAAACACCTATAATGGTTTCCTGAGCTTTTAAAAGATCTCTGTCTGGTTCAGTAGGTTACACAATCATGGGGAAGACTGCTGATTTGACAGTTGTCCAGAAGACAGTTATTGACACCCCTCTGCAAGGAGGGTAAGTCACAAAATGTCATTGCTAAAGAAGCTGGCTTTTCACAGAGTGCTGTATCCAAGCATATCAATGGAAAGTTGAGTGGAAGGAAAAAAAGTATCATAGAATAACGTGCACAAGCAACAGGAATAATTGCAGCCTTGAGAGGATTGTGAAGCAAAGGCCGTTCAAGAATTTGGGGGAGATTCACAAGGAGTGGACTACGGCTGGTGTCAGTGCTTCAAGAGCCACCACACACAGACATATCCAGGACATGAACTAAAACTGTCGCATTCCTTGTGTCAAGCCACTCCTGCACCAGAGACGATGTTAGAAGCATTCCATTTGGAAATCAGGGACTCAGAGTCTGGAGGAAGGGTGGAGAGGCACAGAATCCAAGTTGCATGAGGTCCATTGTGAAGTTTCCACAGTCAGTGATGTAATTTGCTGTTGTTGCTCCTATCAAGTACAAAGTCAGCACAGCCCTCTACCAGGAAATTCTAGAGCACTTTATGCTTCCCTCTGCTGACCAGCTTTATGGAGATGTTGATTTCATTTTCCAGCAGGACTTGGCACCTGCCCAGACTGCCAAAAGTAGCAATACCTAGTTTATTGATCATGGTATCACTGTGCTTGATTGGCCAGCAAACTCACCTGACCTAAACCCCAAAGAGAATCTGTGGGGTATTGTCAAGAGGAAGACAAGACACCACACCCAACAATGCAGACGAGCTGAAAGCAACCCGGGCTTCCGTAACACCTCGGCAGTGCCACAGGCTGATCGCCTCCATGCCACGCTGCATTGATGCAGTAATTCATGCAAAAGAAGCCCTGACCAAGTATTGAGTGCATACTATACTGTACATGGACATACTTTTCAGTAAGCCAACATTTCTGCATTAAAAATCTTTTTTTTTGTTTGTTTTTTTTTGGTCTTATGTAATATTCACATTTTCTGAGTTACTGAATTTTGGGTTTTCACTAGCTGTGAGCCATCATCATCGAAATTTAAAGAAAGAAATGCTTGAAATATTTTACTCTGTGTGTAATGAATCTATATAAAATATGAGTTTCACTTTTTGAATTGAATTACTGAAATAAATTATCTTTTTGATGATCTAATTTGAGATGCACCTGTAGAGGGGGGACTTTGGTTGGCCAATGTCCATTCACCTGTAGGTGTCGCATTACCCAGATAGTAATGAGTATAGCTTGCTCTGTGTCCTGTGATGTACTCTAAGAAATTGATTTTACAGGTGAGTATGTAAAAAAAAAACCCCAAAGTTTTGTTAACCTCTTCACGCCAGCGCCTCCCAGCCCTTTAAAGGTTTTCGGACACCGGGTCACAATCGCAAGGGGAGATCAGGACCTTTCCGTGAGACACAGACATATCTGCTGGGAGCACACAGGGCATGCGCTCTCTGCACATATGTGTTTTCAATTGATACGCAAATATGCGGCCGCTCGGCGTCAAGGCCTAGCAGCTGAGAGGCCGCATATTTGCATACAGTTGGTGTCAAGGTATTAAATAAAAAAAATTAAAAAAAAAATGACAGAGGTTCTAACTCCTGCCTTTCCCAAACGTAAAAATACGTTTTAGCTTGATACACTTTAAATGGAAAAATAATGACCTAACATGTCTGTAGCCATTAAATAAACTTTTTTTTTTCTAGTTTTATCCTTATTTGCAAGTATTTTTATAGTCTGTTGTTTCTGTTAAAACACTATTTCATTTTTACGTGTATGGAATAGTCTAACAAAAAGGGGCCTGTGCTCTGTAGTATACTTTATACATTTCTAGTGCAGTTTTTGTTAATAAGACCACTAATTGACCAGTTATGCCAGCTAAATAGCCCATTAACAGAGAGAGTTGAACGCTTTGAGGTTTGCTATATTATATTTTGTTTTTGTTACTAAAGATATTACTATAAAGATATTTGTAAAAAGTGACAGTTCTTTTTATTTTCAGCTGGGTTCATGAAATTAAAAAATTAGTCACATGGCTACAGTTAAGATCCGTATCCTGGTGGTAAAGCTTTGTAAATTAAGCTTTATGGAATGTTTATAATTTAGATGCTAGTTGATTTTTCGTCACTCTGCTGCCTTTTTAAATATACCTTTTCTCCTTGTTAATGCATTTTGTACTTGGGCTAAATATTAGATTTAAGTCAACTCACACTCTCTCCCTATTCTGTTGTTGAAAGGTTTTCGGTTATTAAGCACATCCATTCCTGGGGATCCTGGCACTGTGGCAGCTTCTGCCCTTCCAAAGCGCAGGGCAGCATATTCTACCAGGTGAGGTGGCAAGGTTTTTCCTAGCATAAACCAAAATAATTTATGTATACTGCTTAAAAAAATTAAAGGAACACTTTGAAAACACATCAGATCTAAATGGAAAAAAAATATCTATGCTGGATATCTATACTGATATGGACTGGGTAATGTGTTAGGAACGTAAGGATACCCCATCGTTTGATGGAAATGAAAATGATCAACCTACAGAGAATGAATTCAAAGACACCCTGAAAGTCAAATTGAAAAAATGCTGCAGCAGGCTAGTCCATTTTGCTGAAATTTCAATTGCAGCAACTCAAAATGGTACTCAGTAGTGTGTATGGCCCCCACGTGCTTGTATGCATACCTGACGTCAGGGCATGCTCCTAATGAGATGAAGGATGGTGTCCAGGGGTATTTCCTCCCATATCTGGACCAGGGTATCACTGAGCTCCTGGACAGTCTGAGGTGCTACCTGGGGGCATCGGCTGGACCGAAACATGATATTTCAGAGGTGTTCTGTTAGATTTAGGTCAGGCGAGCATGGGGGCCATTCAGTGGTATCAATTCCTTCATCCTCCAGGAACTGCCTGCATACTCTCATCACGAGGCAGGGCATTGTCGCGCACCAGGATGAAACCAGGATGGGTCCAAGGATTTCATCCTGATACCTAATGGCAGTCAGGGTGCCATTGTCTAGCCTGTAGAGGTCTGTGTGTCCCTCCAGGGATATGCCTTCCCAGACCATCACTGACCCACCATCAAAACGGTTATGTTGAACGATGTTGCAGGCAGCATAACATTCTTCACGGCTTCTCCAGACCCTTTCACGTCTGTCACATGTGCTCAGGGTGAACCTGCTCTCATCTGTGAAAAGCATAGGATGCCAGTGGCAGACCTGCCAATTCTGCTGTTCAATGGCAAATGCCAATTGGCTCTGTGGTGCCAGGCAGTAAGCACAGGGCCCACTAGAGGATGTCAGGACACCTTCATGAAGTCTGTTTCTGATTGTTTGGTCAGAGACATTCACACCAGTGGCCTGCTGGAGGTCATTTTGTAGGGCTCTGGCAGTGCTCATCTTGTTCCTTCTTGCACAAAGGAGCAGATAACGGTCCTGCTGATGGGTTAAGGACCTTCTATGGCCCTGTCCAGCTCTCATAGAGGAACTGCCTGTCTCCTGGAATCTCCTCCATGCTCTTGATACAGTGCTGGGAGACACAGCAAATCTGGCAATGGCACGTATTGATGTGCCATCCTGGAGGAGTTGGACTGCCTGTACAACCTCTGTAGGGTCCAGGTATCGCCTCATGCTACCAGTAGTGACACTGACCCTAGCCAAATGCAAAACTAGTGAAAAACAGAAAAGATGAGTAGGGAAAAAATGGCAGTGGCCTCCACCTGTAAAACCATATCTGTTTTGGGGGTCGTCTTATTGTTGCCCTTCTAGTGCACCTGTTGTTAATTTCATTAACAGCAAAGCAGCTGAAACTGATTAACAACCCCCTCTGCTACTTATCTCACCAGATCAATATCCCAGGAGTGTAATTGACTTGATGCTATACTCTGATTAAAAAGTGTTCCTTTTTATTTGAGCAGTGTACAATTGCTGTATTCGTTTTTAAAAAAGTGATGGCCCGTCAGCTTTAGCTTCCTATAACTTGGAGAAGTAAGTTCTCTATAATTATTCATAGTATTACATTTGTATCGTTGTGGATGTTTTATGTCTCATAGGCAGCCAAATGTGTAGATTTAAAGAATGTGGCTCAACAACAATATGACCAAAGCCAACTTTTATTATTTATCAACTACCTCAATTTTTTTTTAAGCTCTTATTATAAATAATAAAAACAAATTGTTAGCTTGTTGCCCCCTTTTATAAAAATATTATACTGAATAACTTTTAAATAAGTACATTTTAACAATAAATCTTACACCTGTACACTAGATATAAAAAAAACTACTGCTGCACATGGCTGCTGTGGATTCCTTTTACTCAAAGCCTCCCATGGACAGCATCCCCCAGGTCTGATATCTGGCAGGTCCACTATTAGAGGTGAGCCCATATCATGAATGGTGGTAGGAATCACTGCAAGGAATAAATAAGAATACCACGGGTAAAAACTAAGAAGAATTGGAATAATATGAGCAGTTTATATCACTAGAAGTAAAGAGGACATTGATTATTAATGATTTACCTTATTATTATGTGGTGGATTTTTATTGTTCACAGGGTGGGGGTAGCAAGATGTTTAATTATTTAAGTGTTAAATTATGAAGGCGCAGCAGTAGTTTTTTTATATCTGTTGTTTTATATAGGTTGTGCGAGCACAATTATCTGGTTGCAGCCTTTGATTTGATTCTTTTCACTAATATAGATATATACATGAGATTGGGAGTACTTAATTTCACAATTATATTTTTAAAACACATTGATAACAAATATAATTTTACACTGGTAGCTTAGGATAGACACACTATAAATTTACATTCACCCTGTGCACTGTACACTAACAGGCTTATATGAAGCCATCCTTTTTTTAAGGTGCAATCTCCAGGTCTTTTGCCCCAGTCCTGGCAAAAGACCTGGAGTACCTTAAAAAAAGCATGTCACTTACCCAGAATACGCATGTAGCCAATGACATCAGACAAGTTTGAACTCCTACACATCCTGGATGCTTAATCCAGGTCAATAATTCAATTGATTATGCATACAAGGTCAGGATGGCAGCTCTGGAGGCTGAACCCTTTAAAACAAGTGAACAATGGTAACTCTCTTACCCCCCCCCCCCCCCCCCCCAGTTTTTTTTAATAAGATGCTTTCATTGTAATTAAGGACTCAAAAATCATAGCACTACCTTGTTTTTATAGACCTAATCATATTATTGTTTTTCTTTTCTTACACTATACCAATGCTAAACTGCACTACAGAGCAAGTGTAATATCTAGTGATTTTTTTTTTTTTGTAGTTTTGTTTTTTTGTTTTATTTTTTTTTCAGTGGACTATAGTTAAAACACCATCCTCAATGTTTCAAGGCTGAGCTGATGTTTACTCTATTATGCATTGTTCAAAAAGCACCTCCCTCCAAAATGCAACTTGTCATTTTCCTTCAGAATGTTTGCATTAGTTTTCCAAATACCCAAGTTCTTCTTATCTGTTTAAAACATACTCATCAGTAGTAGGCAAAAAGGAAACTCTCCAGTTTTAAAAGCAGCTAAACTATCATTATTATATCAAAGGGTAAGCCCCCTTGTTTTGAACGTCTTTAGGATTGTTTCCTAGCTTTTTAAGATTTTAAAATAGAATCACTTGCAAAATATAAAACTTGGAGAAACTTTTTTTTAAGCAGTAGAGTTTCCAATAGTGATGATTTTTGATCAGTGGATATTTAAAGTCACATGGTGTGATGATATAGGAGAGTCCAACAGAAAAAATGGTGTGTGTGATGGCTACTTTTGTTAATAGCATACAAAATCAAATTAATGTCATATGTTCACTTTTACCACTACAGACTCAACACTTTGTGTACCAGTACAGGGAGTGTTGAATTCCTGCGTTCCTGTCGCATGTTGTTCCTTCCGTTGATGCTTATGTCACTGCTGTGTACTGTCATGGGGTCAGAAGATGGGATCACATAATGCTTCAAAGGATGCAGGCATCCAACACCTTTGAATGAATGCTGCAGAATCTATTGAAGGCTGTAATATTTCAAGAGAGTGCAAAGTGCAGATAGGAGATGCAGACTGCTGGAGTAGAAATAATAAAAACGTGTGTGTGTGTGTGTGTGTGTGTATATATATGTATATATATATATATATATATATATATATATATATATATATATATATATATATAATTTTTTTTTTTTTTTTTTTTACAGCGATCTGCTGTACAGCCTGCTTTAAGAGTGTGGGTTTTTTTTGTTTTTTTTTTTTGGTGGGGGGGGGGGGCTGCAACAGTGTCACTTTATAAGTGGTTGTATACCCTTGCATATACCAAGTGAAGTGATTGGCCTCAGTTGATACAGAGAGATGAAACCAATCCTCCTACATAGGTTGTTCCCATCTATCAGCAGTCTTCTTGTCGTCTATTCAAAGTGCTGAATTTACAAAGCTTGTTTGAGATTACAGAAAAAAAACCCTGTAATATTAATGTGATACCTACATGATCATGTGTATAAAAAAACTTCAAATGTGCTGAATAAACAGAACAGTTGTTTGACAAGATGCTGAGTGTATCTTTTTGTGCCTGTTCCCTATTGCAGTAGTTATTATTAATTTGGAACCACTGATGTATATAAGGATAGGTGCTTCATATCTATAAAACTGTCAGTATTAATGTCCAGAACAATTACTAAAGTTGTCCTTAATGTGTTACTAAACCCAGGACCCTGCATTCACTATATCTGGTCTCCCACAGTACACACAACATGGAAATACAATTTTTTAGTAAATATAAACTGCTAAATACTTTTTCTCATCAGCAGTTAGAGCAGTCTTGTGAATTCTATCAGTATCCAGCAGGGCACTGGTTAAAGCTTGTAGGAGGAGATTTCATTCTCCCCTATAAGGCTGCATGACCCCTGACCCTCTGTCTTGACAGTGCTGATTGGCCCTGTGCTTATAACATGCACTCTCTCAAGAAAAGAAAAAAAACTCTAGCAATACACACCAAACTGAGCATGTGCAGCTTGTCCTCAAACCTCTGTTTTATCAGGAGATAAATTGGGGATGGTGGAAGAACGGGAGGATCAGTGAAGACAGGATCAAACATCCTTTTTACACAATGTGGAGGATTAACTCCTTAGGTTCTACAGCGAGTATAACAAGCTTTACTGCATACACAGACTGATTTTACTGTTGTGGGTTTAGTAACACTGTAAAGCTCTGTAAAAAAAAAAAATGTATCATCTTACCATCTTTTTTCTTTCTTTTTTTTTCTATCACATAAATACACCAACAACAGTATGTGACAAGTTTGATATCATTGCTTTACATAATACAATGAATCCAGAAAAAAGGAA